GGGGGGGGGGGGGCACTTGAAATTCTCAGAGTGGGGGGGGGGGGGGGGGGGGTGGTAGACTTTCTTTGGGGGCGGACGGGGGCGGACACTGTTAAAAGTATATATTTTCTATATAAATTATACACATTTCATTTCGTTCGGGGGGGGGGGGGGAGATGCCTGGAATAAACTCTGGACTTCCTTACTACTGTCTTTAAGAAGAGACTTCTAGAATTCAACTTCTGAAAGTGCTTTTACTTTTAGGCAAAATATATTTTTGACAAATATATCAGACTCATTTAACCTCGATTAAAGTTGTAGGCCTAAATCCACCCTTCTAATTTCTATTCTGGCTTTTTTTCTCTCGCTTTTTAATCACTATCCTAAATATTTAAAGAAAAAAACATTTTAATCCCGATAACACAATTTTTATCTCGCTATTTAATCCATAATTTAAAACAAAATCGTGTATTATTTTTAATCCCGATAACACATTTTTGACCCACTCTTTAATCTTTTAAACAAAAAAAAAAAAAAAAAAAAAAAAAAAAAAGAAAACACAACTTAATTTTATTCCTTTGTTAAATCCTGAAAGTGAACACGTCAACAGTGAAATGGAAACGATACGATTGACGTTTTCTCGTCGGACAGACGGGATTCTCCGAGAAAAATAAATAATGAACGTGTTATGTAAACGTGATGAAACATGAATTTATCCCCACCTCGTCCCTCATTCAATTACGACCGGAAATAACCCGCCCATGTCGTCCGTTGTCCTTTTCAACCGGGCGCCCGAGTTTTCGCGCTCTTTAATTTCCCTATGGCCCAGGATAGCAGGGGAAGAAAATGTCCAGGGAAGAAAATATGATAGGGTCCCATCTTCCTTTATCCTGGACCAGTCACGTCTACTTGAGGCTTAGGCTCCGATAAACTTTCCGGTACACGTTTTTTTCTTTTCTGTTCTTCGGGAATTTCCAGTTTATCCTCTGTAAAAGATGCTCAAACAATCGGGAAAATCCAATTATTGCTAGACAATAATAATTTGTTTTGTGATTCTTCAGATTCCCTCGTTATTTTTACCATAGCTTACCTTTGTCAAGATCTTTATTTTTAAATGTTGCGTCCGTCTAACACGCATATTGTATACTGACTTCTTTTGTTTCGTACATCATAACGTGATTTTGACCTTTTCGGATGTTACCCTAACGTAAAGAGAAAACTTTTGGTTAAAGAACCTCTTTTCGGTCAGACTGAGCGGTAGATAAAAACAAGTGGCTTTATCGAGTTCTTTGTTTGATTTAAAAGAGAAAATGTCTGCCCTCGCTAACACGACAGTGCAAAAAAAATGGAGGTCTGGATTTTTCTGCGAGAACTGCTGACTAGATTCCAGACATTGTCTGAAGAGTTGGGTGTCGTCCGTCAGCCAGATGTCAATTTTTTTTTGTGGGGGTGGGGGAGGGGTGGGGGAGGGGGAGATTGGAAGCTTGAAGACTTGACAATTATTGAGACGAATGTGTCTACGTACGTGTCAAACATGTCGTCCCACATTGGCTTTGTTTTCATGACGTCTGAATGGGGTTTATGTCTAGACAACATTTGGGCATTCCAGATTTTTTTTTTATTCTTAAGTCCCTTCTACTGCTATAAACATGTCATTTGAGTCCCTTCTACTGCTATAAACATGTCATTTGAGTCCCTTCTACTGCTATAAACATGTCATTTGAGTCCCTTCTACTGCTATAAACATGTCATTTAAAAATAGTTCCAAAACTTAAGTTAAACCTATTACTTTTTTTGTTACATTATTTAATTTAATTTTTGTCTTAAGGGTCGAAACGGGCGAGCGAAATTTTGACAATTTCAAATGGACCGATTTCTTTCAAACTTAACATGTCGTTCCAGATCTGATGTCAATGCAATGTGACATCAAATTGGACTGAAGTTTTCCCCGCACATTGTTTACATTCATTTGTCTCGCAAGGTTTTAGTCATTGTATTAAATTTTTAAGTAATGAAAAAACAAACAAAAAAAAACAACGTATTAATAACATACTTTTGTGCACTAGTTAGTTATTTAAAGTGGTTCATAATTAAATATTAAAAAGAAAATGACAAGTGCATATAATTCTGTAAACGTTATTTAAACATGTTTTAATAATTTTTTTACATGTAATTTTTGTGTCAGGTCACGCACAATTTAAAACAAAAATCATAACAGCTAAAGAAAAAAGTTGTACATCTATATTCTAAAGGATGAACGCACACGTTTTAAATTAAGCAAAAAACATGAATTCTAACTTTATTTCATTGGTCTTATTATTTTTTTTTGATTCCCGTGAAAACATTTTTTCCCCCCACGTTATTGTATATGGATCATAAGTGCTAATTGATATTTGAGCTAGATTAATGGGAGTTTAAGTGCTATTTGACATTTTCTTTAGATTAATGGGGACGACATTGGAAGTTTAAATGCTAACTGACATTTTGTCTAGATTAATGTGAGCTTAAGTGCTAAGTGACATTTTGTCTAGATTAATGTGAGCTTAACTGCTAAGGTAGGGCATGGGGGAAGAGCTAAAAGCCTTGGATGTTAACAATCGTTGATGCTTCGATAAATAGCGTTAAATATATTATATGTGTGCGCGTGTGTTTGGGTGGGGGGGGGGGGATAACTAGACGGTTTACTAGCCTATTATCTGCCAAACTACCTTCCATCTCTTATTCTTCATGAAACTCTGCTACACTGTTTACCCCTTTTGCCTTTCTACCCTACCCATATGTCAGCCAGTTATGCCTTCCTAAAAAACTGGAATGTCCTTCAACATCCACTCTAGGCGACCCTACATTTGAATGCCCACAAAAGTGTTCTTACTTACTTCCAATATATTATCACATGTAATGTGTAGCTGATATAAAGGTGTATTTATTTTGGTGTTATGCAATAATTAAAGTATAATCTCGAATGCTTTGGAAAAAATAAATACACACATTTACAAGTGTAAAGATATTTTAAGTTTTTGTAGTTAACCCATCGTAGTCAACCCACTTTGGATAATCCACCGTAGTTAACCCACTGTGGATAACCCATTGTAATTAGCCAATCGTAGTTAGCCTATTCTAGCGAACCTATTATGATGCCGTTAATGTATTTGTTCTCCTGTCCCTTTGTTCTGTTTAGTCTCTATTTGACACACCAAACATCTTAGCCCCCCATCGTCTCAGTGGTTCAATGAAATCTATTTGACCACCCTCCCCCCCCCCCCCCAGCTAACACAAGTCGTTCCACGCGGGACTACCGCTGTATTTACAAACATTGATGATCGACTTTTGAGCGTCGTGATTCAAGTCAGGGGTATCAGTGATCGATGCTTTGATTCAAGTCAGGGGTATCTGTGTTCGATGCTCTGATTCAAGTCAGGGGTATCTGTGTTCGATGCTCTGATTCAAGTCAGGGGTATCTGTGATCGATGCTGTGATTCAAGTCAGGGGTATCTGTGATCAATGATGTGATTCAAGTCAGGGGTATCTGTGATCGATGCTGTGATTCAAATCAGGGGTATCTGTGATCGATGCTGTGATTCAAGTCAGGGGTATCTGTGATCGATGCTGTGATTCAAGTCAGGGGTATCTGTGATCGATGCTGTGATTCAAGTCAGGTATCTGTGATCAATGATGTGATTCAAGTCAGGGGTATCTGGGATCGATGCCGTGAGAACGCTTGATCCGTGATCCATCTCGGTATCAAACAGGAGAGGGACTGGTCAGTCAGTGTCCGGATTGTGGACAGGTCATTCAATGTCCAAGTTATGGACAAATCATTCAATGTTTGGACCAATGTCCAGGTTATGGACCAGTCAATGTCCGGGTTTTAAATCGGTCATCCAATGTTCGGGTTATAGATTGGTCATCCAATATCTGAGTTATAGTTTGGTCATCCAATGTCCGAGTTAAGCCCTAGTTAAGCCACTTGTATCCAGTCGTCTCATCATGACGCGGGTACTGGTCACTAATGGGCACTAGGGCGAGTGTGGACTAAATAGGGCCATATTGAACTGGGTGAATCGATCACAACTGAAAACATAGCGACCGTACTGACCACGTCCAGCTGTCAGCCACGTTTTAACACCACATCACGTGACCTAAACCATGTAGTGATTCTACCTTGACAGACATGGCGGACAGATTTGTGTCCGGTACTTGACGAAACAGATGAAGTTGTAGTTCTTATTCCATGCATACTTAAATAATATGAGGAGGGGTCGGCTGTATTCAACGTGATCTGGGGGTGGGGCTTAAGTGTATTCAACGTAATATGGGGGTGGGGCTCAAGTGTATCCAACGTGATCTGAGGGGTCGGTTGTATGCAACGTGATCTGCAAGATCTATAGAAATCAGCGTGATCTGAGGGAAAGGGTTTCTACCGTAGTCAACGTGATCTAATGGGTCAAACGTAAACTTGAATCCTACACTAAAACAGCAGCATATTGAATTAATCAAGGCCACAATCCGAGTTTAGTTCGAGTTAGTGGGAGGATAATCAAGATTTTCAAGGTTTATTTTTGGCTTGTGGGAGGTAACTCGTATTTCTGGTCTGTGACAGGTAGCTGTAGTCGACATGCAAGATTTCTCCCGATTGTCTGTGGATCGATCCTGTCACAAGGTCCGTCTGATTAGCTTAGTGCAGTGGTTCTAACACTACAGGCATATGCCCTTAGATCTACTGGTCGATACTACAGCAGAGCGGTACGCTGTAATACAACTCCGGTATTCTACAACATTTGAACCCCTTTTTCATACGTTGGATGGACCAAAGCTACTCTAACCATACACTCTTACACTGGCCTTGACCTTAACTCTGATACCGATCATACTCCCACACCCATCCCATTGAGAACCTTCGTTAAAACAGACTTCATTAGTGTCGTCCTTTGACACATCTTGAAAGAAAACCTATGGGGGAAATTAAAAAATTAAGAATTCCCGAGGGAAAAAAATGATGGAAATTTATTTTCTGTTTGCAGGAGGGCAACACACCGCTGATGTGTTACCTGAAGGGTGGACAGCCGGACTGTGACGTGGTTGAGGCCTTCCTCAGGTGTAACGCTGATTTGTACATCGCCAACCAGGTGAGCAGTGCTGTACTAGTGGCGGGTCGAAGTCTGAGCTAAAGTGTCAGCTTAAACAAAATATGAGCTTGAAAAAAAAGTGTGAGCTAAAAATGTAAACTAACAGTGTGAATTTTAAACAAATTGTGAGCTAAAAGTGTGAGCTAAAACAAATATGAGCTTGAAAAAAAAAGTGTGAGCTAAAATGTTAACTAAAAGTGTGAACTTAAACAAAATGTGAGCTAGAAAGTGGGAGTTAACCTAAACTGGGAGATAAATTAAAGTGTGAGCTAAACAAATAGTGTGCTAAATTGAAGTTTGAGCTAAGTGTGTGTGCTAATTTAAAGTATAAGTTTTTAAAAAATGTATGATCATAATGTGAGCTAAAGCATGAGCTAAATCAAAATATACATAACGCGGTGCAAGACTGTGTGTGCCAGAGTTTCTTCCAGGCATCTCTTCGGGGGGGGGGGGCGAAGCCCCCCAGAAAATTTTTTACCGCCCCCCGAACGAAATGAAATTTATATAATTTATATAGAAAATATATACTTTTAACAGTGTCCGCCCCCCCCGAAGAAAGTTTACCGCCCCCCCGAAGATTTCAAGTGCCCCCCCCGGAGAAAAAAGTCTGGAAGAAACACTGGTGTGTGCAGACTGTGTGAACTTGTATCCGACTTGTAAAGGCACAGTGAATTCCCAGACTGCAGAAAGTGTGAACTTGTATCACACCGACTTGTTAAGGCAAGCTGAACTCACAGACTACAGAAAGTGCGAACTTGTATCATACCGACTTGTTAAGGCACGGTGAATTCCCAGACTACAGAAAGTGCAAACTTGTATCATACCGACTTGTTAAGGCACCGTGAACTCACAGACTACAGAAAGTGCAAACTTGTATCCGACTTGTTAAGTGACATTGAATTCCCAGACTGCAGAAAGTGCGAACTTGTATCACACCGACTTGTTATAGGCACGGTGAACTCACAGACTACAGAAAGTGCGAACTTGTATCACACCGACTTGTTATAGGCACGGTGAACTCACAGACTACAGAAAGTGCGAACTTGTATCACACCGACTTGTTAATGCACATGTTTTCCCGGCATACAGCAGCTGGTTTTCTCTTCCACAGCTTGGGGAATTCCCGCTGGAGCTGCTGACCACGTCACCAGACATCCCCGCCTTCGTCAAGGACGTTTTTCTGAGATATGTGGTAGGTTTTTTTCTGAGATATGTGGTAGGTTTTTTTTCTGAGATGTGTGGTAGGTTTTTTTATGAGATATGTGGTAGGTTTTTTTCTGAGATATGTGGTAGGTTTTTTTCTGAGATATGTGGTAGGTTATTTTTTCTGAGATATGTGGTAGGTTTGTTTTTTTCTGAGATATGTGGTAGGTTATTTTTTCTGAGATATGTGGTAGGTTTTTTTCTGAGGTAGGTGGTAGGTTTTTTCTGAGATATGTGGTTGTTTTTTTTTTAGATATGTGGTAGGATTTTTTTTCTGAGATATGTGGTAGGTTTTTTTTTCTGAGATATGTGGTAGGTTTTTTTTCTGAGATACGTGGTAGTTTTTTTTTTCTGAGATATGTGGTAGTTTTTTTTTTCTGAGATACGTGGTAGTTTTTTTTTTTTTGAGATATGTGGTAGTTGTTTTTTTTTGAGATATGTGTTAGTTTTTTTTTTCTGAGATATGTGTTAGGTTTGTTTTTTCTGAGATATGTGGTAGGTTTTTTTTCTGAGATATGTGGTAGGTTTTTTCAGAGATATGTGGTAGGTTGTTTTTTCCCCTGAGATATGTGGTAGGTTTTTATTTTCTGAGATATGTGGTAGGTTTTTTGTCTGAGATATGTGGTAGGTTTTTTTCTGAAATATATTGTAGGTTTGTTTTTCTGAGATATGTGGTAGGTTTTTTTTCTGAGATATGTGGTAGGTTTTTTTTTTAGATATTATGTCATTAATATGTTGTATTTTTTTTTAAATCTTACATACGTGGTAGGCCCCCCTATGTGTTTTTTTTTTCCAAAATATGTGTTAGGTTGTTTTTTTTCTTAGATGTATTGTACGTTTTTTTTTCTTAGATATGCCGTTACTTTTTTTTCTCTCTAAGAAATGCGGACGTTTCTTTTCCTTAGACATGTGGTATTGAGTCATTGACCAATACAATTACACCTGAAGTATCGAAGCACCCAGCCCATAATCTTGTGATATTGTTTTGCACCAAAACTCTATTTATTTCAAGCAACTTCTATCTCGCCCGGTCGGCTCAGACTTAGTGAGGCGCCACCAAAGTGGTACTGTTAAAATGGTAGGGGAGGGGAGGGGTTATAGAAAAAGCTAACATCATTGCTGGAGAAAATGGAAAAATATAATGGGTTGAGGTGGGGGAGTGAGGTGGGCTGAGCGATACAATGCTGGGATAATCGCTAGTATTAAAGGGAGACGTTTTCTAGAGAACATGGCACAGTGGCGTAGACCCCTCGGTTGATACATAAAGGTTGAGCGGGGGGTGCAAAATCAAAAGTCTGAGGGGGGGGTGCAAATGAAAGGTTTTAGGGGGGGGGGGGTGTGCACATCAAAAGTTTGTCCTAGGGGGCCGAGGAGGGGCGCTATGCCTCTGATATATACATTTATGATGCGGGAAAAGATTTGACCCCCCCGCCACCCTATGAGACGACCCTGGCTACGCTACTGACATGGCACAAAACTGTTGGTCAGCTTCTTGCAGCTGTGTCATGTCATTGGATAGATAACTATATATATATATATATATATATATATATATATATATATATATATATATATATATATATATATATATATATATATATATAGGCATAGGACTATAGAGAGGAGACCGTTTCCTCCTGGACGAACCAAATGCTCCGATTTAGCTCCTCCCCCCCTTACCTAATCCACTGCACTCGACAAATTAAAATTTCCAACCTATCCTACAGCCTTATCAGATGCGAAGAATTTATTATCAAAGAAAGATAACTAAGAAAATGTTAGACGTAAACAAAATTTGACAGCGTACTTGCTTCCCCCTTGCATGTCAACAGCTTCATTTAACTGAGGGGAATTTCAAATTTTATTAGCCATTTCTGAGCGGAGACGCAAACTAAACTAGATAGCGTCGGTTATTCCAGGAAAATAACAATTTTTTATTTGCTACATAAGTTTATATTTAGCAAGGAATGCAGCAGATAAAGAAAAAATGTAGATTCTCTAGGTGTGTATTACTGTATTTTAAAGTGTATTTTTTCCTGTAGTGGGGAAAGGGGTGGTGGTTGGTAGTTTTTAGTCTTAGTTTAGTAGTTTAGTAGATCTAGTCTAGTAGACAAGATCTGGCTACATTGTCCACGTATATAGATCTAACTCCAGCTAAATAATTTCACTGCTAGGGATTTGCATGTTTTTGTGTGCTTTTATTAATTTGTTTTGCTTAGTTACGAATAGGCCTTGAATAAGCTAAATATTACTAAATAATAATAATAATTCATAGTTCACGTAGACAATTTAAATAAATTAAAAATATTTTAAATTAAATGATTGAAAATATCTTTCAGTCTTTCAGGGAATGAAAGCTGTGAGACTAACCTTGTACATTTTAAAATATATTTCAGCTTGGGGTATGGAAGACTGTATAGTATACTGTATACTGTATAGGACTAACCAGAGGGGTGACACCAAGGGAAAAAATAGTAAAATATATAGAGAAAAATTTGAGGGGGGAGGGTGCAAATCGAAAGTTTGAGGGGGGGGGTGCAAATGGAAAGTTCGAGGGGGGGGGGTGCAAATGGAAAATTACTCCCCGGGAAGAGTCGCTACGCCCCTGGGGGTGAAACCATTAAGTGCCGCACCGGGTGACACCTGACCTCGCTATGCCACTGGGACTAACTAGATCATTTTTTCCATCTTTCTATCTTTCAGCCTGGGATATGGGAGGCTCTTGGATTAACTAGATCATTTTTTCTATCTTTCAGCCTGGGATATGGGAAGCCGTGGTGCGTGATGACGCCATGAGTGTGAGGAGGCTGATCAACCAATGGGTGAGAGTGGACGTGCAGAAGGTCAGTGAGTTCATTGGTTTGATTACACTCTCTGCTTACATCGTCTAATTACATTCTCTGATTACTCTCTTTAATAACATTCTCTGATTACATCTTTAAGGACACTCATCTCAATTTATCACAATACAATAGAGACAGCCCTTAAGGACATTCATCCCATTATTTCACAGAACAATAAGGATAGCCCTTAAGGACATTAACCACTGAAGCTACTACTTGTCTTGAACTTTTCTTGCTTGCATGTTAACAACTTCATTTTCCCTGTAAGATCAGAAGGAAATACCAGGCTGTGTAACATTTTTGTAACATTTCTGTTACAGAATGGAAAAACCTTGTTACAGCTGGCTCTGGAGATGGGCACTGAGAACATCATACGTGTGGTCAGTGGCATCCGGTCCTCCATGGTACGTGAATTATTTTAACAAATTTTACTTCATTCATTAATTTTCATTAACACAATTAAAAGCCAGTTACTGCATACTTTAGATTAATCTTAATAGCATGGTTTTGTTCTGTGTGGTTATCATATTAGTAAACAAGTTCTCTAGAGCAGTTACTTTAATGTAACATTTAACTAAAACCTACACATAACTACTTAACTACTTACTGGTATTGAGAGGAAAATAATTATCAACACAATTGAAAGTTAATAGAGAATAAATAAAGTTCTACTCTAATTCTGGTTTTAACTAAATTCCTACAAATTTTTTTTGGTGCTCTGTGGGCAAATTGACTGACTACACCTTTCTTCCCCAGGAATTTGCACACAGTGTATTGTCTGGGGATACACAAATTGTGAGGAGAATGTTGAGGCTCAAACTGAAGATTAATATCAACTTTAGAAACATGGTGAGTAGAAATATCAACTTTAGAAACATGGTGAGTAGAAATATCAACTTTAGAAACATGGTGAGTAGAAATATCAACTTTAGAAACATGGTGAGTAGAAATATAAACTTTAGAAACACTGTGAATAGAAATATCAACTTTAGAAACACTGTGAGTAGAAATATCAAGTTTAGAATCAAATTCCATATTTTACCAGACTATTTGAGCTGCTATTATTTTTTTTATATATTTCACTGCTATGTCATAAGAAAATGTAACAATGATGATAATCAACAAATCTGATGTAAATCTTTTTGTTCAGGGTGACAGAGGAAAGACGCCAATATTTTATGCACTGGCCCAGGGCAACACAGATCTAGTGCACACACTGCTGGACAGGGGAGCCAGGGTGGATATAACTCTAAAGGGGGAGGATGAGGTCAGTTTTACTTTAACATGCTGGGTCCATTTGTTGATAATACTCAGTGTGATCATTGTGTGCCCAAGTGTGAGTTGGTATGTGTGTTAGAACTGTGCAATAGGTCTAGATAAGTCAGATACCATCAGAACTGTGTGTACTCATGGACATCCTACAGACTTGATTTCAGTATCTGAACTCAATACTCTTGTGTAAGAGGTCACCCACTCTACTTTTTGACCATGCCATCTCATGACTGTGGCAAGTCGAAATGTCTAAAAATTAATCAACTGGGCAGAGATCAGCTGGTTTTTGTTAAATAAAATGAGCCAATTTATTATCTAGAAATGTAGTCCTGCATGATGCATCACTTGTATAAGCTTTTTAATGAAGTAAGAATAAACAACTGTTGAGTAAATGTAATACATTCAGACCAAAATATGTTGACTTTCCATTGGACAGATTGACATTCCATTGTTTTTCACTGCCTTGGAACACCGTCCACAACTATCAACATCTTTACTGAAGGCCATCATCCCCATGGTGCCTGTGAGAGTGGACTGTCTTTTTTACAAGGTGGATTTTTTTGTTTTGTTACATCAACTTTTGTAACAAATAGCTAATAGTTACTTACAAACATGTTAAAAATCTAAAAAAAATAAAAAACAAAACAAAAAAAAATACTAACAACAGCAGATTGATTTTAAAAAGGACAAATGAATAATGAATTAATAAAACAGTTTACTAATTATTTGCCATATTAGATCTTCCAATGTATTTTAAATAAAACTTGTTGAATATATTTTTTATTGTCAATATTTTACTATAACATGTTTGGAAAAGAAGAAAGTTATTTCAGCAATGAGTAAAAATAGCTTGTAGATTAGTGTCACATAATATAAAAATATGTACTGAAAGTAAAGAAATCAACTTCTTGTGAACAAAGCTTTACTTAGTTTTAATTTTTTTTAAATAATTCAATGATAATACTTGTCTACAGGGCAAAAATGTCCTGTTTCACTGTATAGAGAAATGTGTAGGTGAGCAGTTAGTGGATTTTATTCTCAGCAAAAGTTCCCCATATCTTGTCACACAGCGAATAGAGGTAAATAATTGAATGGTTTGTACTTAATAATGATGTCAATGTGTAAATAGTTGAATGGTGTGTACTAAATAATGGTATCAGTGTGTAGGTGAATGATGTGTACAGAATAATAGTATCCATGTGTAGGTGAATGGTGTGTACTATTTATAATGGGATCAATGTGTAGGTGAATGGTGTGTACAAAATATTTGTGTAAATGTATAAATAGTTACATGGTGTGTACTAAACAATGGTTATAATAATATGACTAAAATGAAGCTTTCAAAGTTAAAATAGACTAGACTGTGACACAAGGCCTATATGAATAGAAAGTTTTAAAAAGTTAAATATGAATTTGATGACTAATGAATATACCTAGTTAAAAAAGAACTGTAATATTTGGATCTGAAGAGTAGCAGCCACATTGTAAAGGATACTTTAGAAATGTTATAAGCTAGAGAAAGTGGAATTTATGTGTATATTGGCAGTTTCCCAAGCAATAACTATCTGATTCTTTATTTATCTCAGTACAACAGATGCCCTAGGGAAATGGCAGAAGAAAGACAATGTACTTGGATGATCAGAGCTATTGATAATGTAAGCTTTAGTTAAGTATGTGAATTGTCTTTTAAAGAAGTTGTATTTTTTAAACTTACAACCTAAAACTATTACTGTTGTATATTATCCATCAATAACTCTTTTCCATCAATAACTCTTTTACACATTTCTATGAATAATATTTGCTAGAGCCACTTAATATTATATTGCATAAAAATGACTTTAAGTTATAGTTTTGAAGGTCAAGAATCATTTTGATTTTGCATAGATGTATATCACACTATTTATAATTTATATACCTATTATAATTTTTAGCTTCTGATTTATACTTTCATTGTAAAATTGGCTTATTTAAAAACTGATTAATTATTTTGACTTCTGATTGGATATTTATTTGAGTTGGAATATTTGAGAGCTTGAAAATGGAACTTTAAAATATAACCTAATCACTGAATGTAAAAGTAAAATAGAAACCAATCATTGAAAGTAAAACAGAAGCTAATCACTGAAAGTAAAACAAGCTAATCACTGAAAGTAAAACAAGCTAATCACTGAAAGTAAAACAAGCTAATCACTGAAAGTAAAACAAGCTAATCACTGAAAGTAAAACAGAAGCTAATCACTGAATGTATTTTCAGGCTGTTGTGAGATGGGTGTACCAGGAAGAAGGGATGAGTCGCCAGATCCTCATTTTACAAGGTTATCAATACATTCCTGCTGCGTTACAGGTTGGTGCTCTTTACTTCAAGGAAACCATTTTAAAAATATCTAAACGTGGTTAATTTATCCTAGTTTGTTAACATTTCTGTTTTGAAATATTTGACAGAATATAAATTGTAACCAAGAAGATGATACAGACACTTTCTACAGATATCTTTCACTGTATCAGGTATAATTTTCTATACTTTCATTTGGTGTTGTTGGTTTATTATGTAGCCTACAGTCCATATATTTATACTATTAAGAATTAATATTTTACTATTTCAATTCTATACGTCTATTCAGATAATCGAGGTTAAATTTTTTATATTTTAAGAAACTTAAATTGACGAAATTAATAATTCTGTTTGAAAGCAATAAATCCTTTAAAGTAAAATTAAAGTGTTGAGAACATATTACATAAATTATTTTTGAAAAAATATACCTACATAAATTATGGTTTGAAATCTTACGTTTAAGAATGGCCTGAAAATATTTCTGCAGGGTCTTTAAAACTTTGAACTATCTAAATAAAGTTGAAAGAACTGACACAATTTTTTTAAACCTATCTTTGCTTTTAGCTTTAGCTACTAAAGCCTGAATTACAATACAATCTTTTATAAAACCCAGGAACAAGTAAATGCTCTCCATAAGGCAGTAGATGAATGTGATGAAGAAACAGTTCGAAGAATTATTTATTTTCGTCACCCAGATGAGCACAGCCTAGAACCTTGTCTAGCAGACAGTAGAATACCTGTAAAATATTTTTTTTTTAAATTTCTAATGTCGTCTAGAATACATGTAGTATATTTTAATTAAAAGTTACAATTTTAATTGCTTTTTTTATTGATTTATTTAGAAAAATATGGGTAGGTCTCTTTTTAATTTTTTAACTTTACTTTTTGTTTATGACAGGGTGATGGGCAACCACTTCTCCATAAAGCTGTTCTCCGAGGGAGTGTTGGCGTGACACAGCTGTTAGCTGAGACCCTGGTCTACCAGCGCCAGCAGAGACTGGACTCTATACGTGACCAAGTAGGTCCCATATTAATAGCGATGCTTTATTTCATGTATTCAACACCACGAGCAAGTCCTGGTCTAAATTTACTGCTGTATTTTTATGTTGGGCTATAAAAAATCATAAACATTTTAAATAATTTACATTTAATTATAATGTAAATAAGACTTATCAGATGTTATTTACCTTTTAAAGTATATATGGCCTACTCCCCCGCTTTGAGACTTAGCATTCCAAATATGGATGATTAAATAGGTAATACTACACTGTTGTGCCTGTTTAATGCTATATCTAAATACAGAAGGCACTTCTATGAAAGCAATTTTCATTCTATTTAGTATTTCCGTACTGCCCTTCATTATGCTTATGGCCTGGAGGATGGTAAAGAGCTGGTTAGCATGCTGTTAGATTATGGCGCATCAGAATTTTCAATGGATAAGGTCAGTTTTTAATTAGGGAATACCTACATGACTGGTTAGAGCTTATGGTTAATAAAAATATTGTTTTAAGTGTTTCATAATCACTTTTTGTGGTAGGCTCTAAACATCAGTTGATGCTATCTTGTCTAAATCTTTAGTAATATAATTAAAATCAACCCTACTTTTAGATAATAATTTTGATTTTGCTTTCTTGACTAATAATTACAAAAATTTTTTTTTTTCATGTAATGTTGTCCAGGATAATCGGTCTCCATTAGCATTTAAAGACAGACGTGGACAAGAGTTGATGAATGAACTGCTTCAGTACCAGTACTTGCAGGTTTGTTGGGCTATTTAACATTATACAGTACATCAGCTTTTCAGAAAGTGTGGCTCAATTTTATAAGCTTTTAATTGGTTCGCGGTCTTTTTTTTTTTGTTTATTCGTTTGGAGCATGTGGCAAACATTGGAACTTCATTCAGAACTTGTCTTCAAGGACAGTATCTATTTTTAAAATTTAATTAGACATTAGGTTAGTCATCAAAGTTAATTTAAAAATTACTATATTTAATAAAAAAGGGGAGATAACAAGATCAATTACAAGCAATCGATCTATTAGATTTCGTCCTTTATAAACTATTTTTTGCCTGAGCGTCAATTATGGTCTAAAAAGGAGCAGATAATTATCTTTGAGGGATTGCAAGCTACTAATCCGGTTTGAACAGAAATATGTTTAGTCGTATGTGGCATCAACTTCATTTAGAACTAATAACTAAAAATTGGAAAATAAAACAATTATAATTATATAAAACCTCTATGATAATCTTTTAAATGCACTGAAAATAAGAAAATAAAACAAAATTGCTCTCTGGCACGCATGAGATCTCTTACATATTTTAGCGACCAAAACTATTATTAAAGAAAGCATCTATGTATTTTCACATTTTCCGTGCATTTAAAAGCTAATTAATTTTATCTTTTATATTTGTTGTACTTTTTTAAAAGATTAGTTTATTAAAATGGTCTAGTTCAGAATGTGGCATACATTCATGCTCAGTTTCATCTGTTCAACAAAGTCTACATGGTTGCATGAATTAAACAAATATTTTTACAAATAACTTCAATGTATATATTTTTTTAAACAGGATTTCAGTGAACCAGAACCAGACCCTTGGAGTGTACCTCTACCTATCCCTGTCATTGATTACTTCCTCAACACCTGCTCCCATTCAGAAACCAACGCCACCTATCTCTCCCCGCAAGGCATAGAACACCTGAGCAGCCACATGAACACCAACCACCGCCACTCTGCCCTGCCCAGCACTGAGATTGCCCTGACAGAAGCTTCCAGATCTGGTACACTCCTGGCCAAGTCGCACAAGTTTAAGTCAGTCTCTGATACAAAGCTTCACAAACTGACACCGGCCAAGCCCAGCTTCGCAGCGCACATCGCTAACTTCCCTGATGCAGTCAAATCAAGATTGACTAAAAGGTCCAATAACAAACTAAACATGGACAGTATTAGAAAAGACTATATTCCTGTTCCAATGGACGCCCCGAGAGATAGCGAGGATGACTTTGATTTCGAAGACGACGTTGCAGATTCTAGAGACTTATTGGATGAAAAGGAAATGAGAAAATCTACTTCATGTGTTTTACAGTAAACTGGATTTTGAAATTTTTGCTCGAAACAGTTGAAAAGTTAAATTGACTGATTTTGATTATCGAACAGAATGTTTGCTAAGAAATATGGATAAATTATATTCATAACAATAATTGTGAAATTTTGATTGGTATGATAGAAACTGAACATTATTAATCTGAACATTTAAAAAAATTGTTATGATTTGTTTTTTTAGAATGCTTTTCCTAAATACAGGAACATGAATGAAATTATTTGGCATTTTTAAGCGAACAATTATTGCAGTCAAAATTAGTTTAAAATTATTGTAAATATCACACAAACTTATAGCCCTGACCTAAGCAACTGTTGCTAAGTAATCAAACATTATGCAGGCCCTTGTTTCCTCTGTTTAGCTTACCTGTTATTAGTGGATGGTTGATTGGTAATAAGTGCACAGATATGATCAATATTGATTGGGTGTTGGTTTTTACTGCACATTTGTATATGGTTCTTTGTGATTTATGTCTGGTGCTAACTCAAAGTGTTAATGTTAAATTAAAATATGGATAACTTTGATTTCAAAATGCTTTTGTAAATCAATTGTTATGCTGTTTCAATCATGAGCTAAAAGAAATTTTTCTGTTAAGTGTTGCGAATCATTTGTGTATATGTAGATATGTGATGTTAAATAAAAACCATTTAAAATTGTGTTTAACAAGCACCACCTCTAGTCATGTAACATTAGCTCTATTTAAAGTTGGTTTTCATTCAGCTAGCTGAAAGTAAACTAAATGACCAAATTGTAACTGACAAAGGATGACTTTAGGTACACCCTACTTTTAGTAAATGTACAATTTAAGTAAATATGCAACAGTTATTAAAAGATCTACATTTAAAGTTGATCAACATTTTCTTACTCAATCTTGAATTTCCAGTGATTTCATGAAATGAAACTACTGAAATTGAAAATAAAGATTAAACTATTAAAATTCCAAAAAGGAATCATCAGCTTTCTCAAGAAAATGACTATTTTTGTGACTTTCAAGGAAAAAACTGCGTGCAATGTTTAACAAATGACTAACATTTATTTCCATTTTCCAACTCATCAAGTCTTTGTAAACAAAAAGTATTTTTATGTACATAACCAATTCCCTGTATTCTGAAAGATATGTTAGCAGCAAGAGTTGACGACTAGAAGCCTATTATCTGCACTAAAGTGCCTTGTCAGAAATAAATTATTTTAATTGTACCCCGCCATCAAGACCTTCAGATGTTAGGAAATACAAATTACAATTAATATTTCAAACAGAAATAGAACTTACACTTTGTAAAAATCCACTCCCTCTTTAAAATGTCCATTCAAAAAAGTGACCCCACTAAAATGTCCATACAGTACTAACCAGGTTGTGATATTCAACTTGTTTTTGTCTCAAACATGTACAGTTTCTATGGATAATCCTGCTGCTTACATTAGCATTATCTTTGTAATAAAACATTGGGTGAAGAATTCTGTGTGTTGTTAATTGTGTTTAAAATTAAAAAAATCAAACATGTCAAAATCTGTACTTTTTAATGCAATAAAAAACAAACATCAATACATGAGATGACATCTAGCCATGTGATAATTCAAACCCCACCCCCTCCCAATTTAGTCTAATCAAGGTTTTCATTCAATGATATTGTGAACATTGTTAGTTTTGAAAAATTGTATACTAAAATAATTAAACAATAGCAAAATGTGAATGAAAACTATTTCTTTCCTTTTGCCTTCTCATCCTGGTACTGGTAGTGTAGCTCAGTGACATCTGTCATAGAGATCTTCTCCCATCCTGTCTGCTTCATGTGATACACTGGGGACAAAAGCAAGTGTGTAGGACTAGAGAACCTGACCAAATCAACTATAATGTTAAGAATTTTTCATTGGAATGAAATTCTATTAAATAATGAGGTTATATAGGGTCTACAAGCCCAACTCAACTAAAATTATTGAATTTCAAATAAATTTAAAACTATATTAATATGAGATATTTATTTTATTACATTAGAAAATATTTAAAAATTAAATACAGTCCAAAAACTGAGTAAATAAAGGGCAAAGCATTTAAAATTGTGTAGTCTAAACAATAAAATAAACTATAGACAATCATACTAGACAAATGTAAAACAACTTTTTGAGCCTACACTAAAACTAAAAGACTTAAAATTGACCATACCACCAAAGACGCAACAAACATTTCACAAAAGTGTAAACTTGAAGACTTACAACTGACAATACCACCAGAGTAGGCATCTCTGTGAGTGGCATGGTATATAGACCTACGTCCAAGTTCATAGGCCTCGTTTTCAGTCAAATCCCAGCTGTAGCCACTGTCAAGTACACCATAGGCATACACAGAGCCAGAGCCAACAGAGAACAAATTCCCTGCCAGCCTCTCACCATCACTGTCTACATAGTAGAGTCCTGGGCCCTGTTGTAGCGATCAACACACATTTTAATAGACTGACACACATATTGCAAATAATAATCATTAGGTAAATCAACACATTTTTACTGTAATCACTTGATTATGGTTAACTAGAAAACTAATTGGAAATGGAAAAAATAAAACCCTACCTTTTATAGTATAACAAACATTGAAGGCAGGGGGGAGGGGGAAAGGAGAAAAAGTATACTCAATGATTTTTAGAGGGAATACTAAAAATAAAATTCAACAAACCCAAGCATTACAGAAACAAGCTGAACATTTTTATGTTTAAATCTAAGTGATATTGGCAACATGTTAAGGAAAACAGTAGTAGAACTCTTAACAATCAACTTTAATGAAAATAAACCACAATAGACATGTTTTCAGATTTGACCTAAATTGTCCCAACACAACATTTATTTTTAATTACCTTTTTGTCCCAGCCTACAATCATTGTACCCTGAAAAATAAGCAGGAAATTTTCTGAAAGGATTTGATATCATCTTGATTTTGAGTACATTTTAAACATTAATATAATCAGATCAGTTATCACAATTTTAAATAATAGCAGTATCAAATAATATAATAATATTGTGGTAAAGCTTTTATTACGTACCATTGAAAGACCCATTCCTTTGTAATCATAAACAATGTTAGCAAGTAGTTTGGAGGCTGCAGCAACAGATATTCTCTCTTTGTTACGCAGTTCGTAGATCCTATTGATCAATGTATTGTTTCTTAGATATTGTATGGGTTATTTGAGTGCTCATAAAGAATAAAACTAGATTTGATAATAAACAGAACCTAATGCAATGATAACTTTTTAATAGTAATAATAGCATAATAAACTTCTTAGATTGACTATCTTAAATCATCTACCACTGTCTTTGAGGATAGTGAAACAATAACATAACTCATGGATGATGATTTACTTAAGCAAATAATAGGACTAAGGACATAATTTTTAAAAAAATATGGAGAAATGAAAAGTAACCTGCATTGTCTTGCCAACACTCTCTCCCAGAACATACAGTCAGCAGCACCACCAGCCATGGTCCCCAACAGGTAGGGGTTGATCTCTATCACTTTCTTAACAGTCTGGGATTCTATTGATGGCCCTGCTGTTGCACGAGAATCTACTGCCACAATGACTCCATGTTTAAACTTGAATGCTAAAGTTGTGGTTCCATGGTTGAACTGGATCTTTACTTTGCTGTCATCCTCTGTGAAAGCTTTATATATACCATTTTGGAACTGAAAAAAATAAACGTTACCCTTTTAGTCAAATTACTACCTAATTAAAGTAAGCTAACAATATTAATATGGTTATTAGTACAAATGGAAAGCAGTCATTCTTCTTTAGCTAGCTCAAAAAAAAATAATTTAAAAAGTTGTGTATGCTATTACCTTCTTTATAGGCAATTAAAAGTAACAAATTTTGAGAACGAGGCCTATGAACTTGGACGTAGGTCTATATACCATGCCACTCACAGAGATGCCTACTCTGGTGGTATTGTCATGTTTTTACCGCTAACGCGGCAGATGCGACAACCCTACTAGCTCTAGATCTATGTGTGTTCGCGGATCGTATGTTACTCTACAAATGAGTAAAGTAGCCTGACTTGACAACAATTGACGTAGAAATAGTAAATGAACTAGATTTACTTGAACTAGATTATTCTAGGCACTAGAGTGACTTCGGTAAAACTCCACTTTAGCGTATTTTATTTCCCCGCTTGAATCCAGTTGAGCGCATTTTATTGTAAACACAACCGAAACATACAAAAACATTAGGAAAACACAAATCTACTTATTTTTTTTATGAATGCGATTTTTTATTAGAAAAGGTAAAAAAAAAAACATAAAAAAGCATTAGAACTTTTTCCAATTAAACATCATGTGATCGTCAGCGGGAGAAAAATCCTTACACTGTCGTGGGTTCACCGTGAGTTCACACTGATTTTAATTATCAGCATGCGCAATAGCTGTTTGAAATTGTGTTGGCCTCAGTTTTGGGGTCATTGTAAGTTCATTAATGTTTATTTATAGTATCATGCCTGGGAGATACTTGTAACAATACAAACTTAACCACCTTTGCAATTGTGAGTTACATTTACGACAGTTTACGTATTTCACCCATTGCCATGAAAATTCGGACACACGAACATTGCACATTCAATATTCTAAATTTGGATTTTTTTTTTCAACTTTTAACAAAAGTAAATTATCAAAATCTTAGTCTTAAACAAAGTCAGTCTCTTTGTTTTATGGTCGCATTTGCGCGGTTCGCTCCGCGTTACGCGTAAGGCCGCCTTTGCGGCCGAGCTAACCCCGGATTCGAACTCTGAATTTAGGGTCGATGAACTTCAGACTACAGCTGACACACCGTTGACTCAATCACAGTGGATGTGATAATAGATAAGTAAAAAGTAAGCATTTTTAATTACAAGATGGCAAATCAAACCTGCGAGACGCGTAGTCTATTCTTTAGGGGCCACGCTTTTCGAGACGCGTAGTCACTTCGTTGTTTTTTTTATTCATTTAGAATCTATATTAGTATTTCTCACTAACCCGGAGGCGTGGTCGGTTGCTAACAACAATATGGCGTACGGACCGGATGCATGACTTCAGACGATTTTTCGTCTTAGTTCCAGAGACCTTCTTAGAATTACTTTTAAAAAATGTTTATCACGAGTAAAATGGCGGGTTTTCACGCTATAAAAACATGCTATAGGTGGCAAAGCTAAATATGCCAGAAAAGCATTTTAAAATTTGCATTGGAGAATGAAGGCTAAATTTAAAAGTCGGTCTCATCAAAATTAATAGAACTTCTAAAATATCAGCCCGGAGGTCACAAAAATGAATTGGAGGTTGTAGAACTATTAAGTTTATCATTATATGAAGAAATAAATCAAATATTGCATGCGCTTTTTAAAATAAGACACGACTTTTGAATGACAACCAAATTTATTTATTTTTTTAAACCACGTGACCGCTATTTGATGTTCACTAGTGGGGAACTTCCGGTACATGGCCACTTAAAAAGTCTAACCTATTTGTGGTTTTCTTTAGCTTCAAGCGTAAGTAGAGTTGTCATGGAGAGGTGTGTTGTGCATTTTTGTGAGTGTCAATAAATATTAATTAAATTAAGTAATTTAGTTTAAAACGAACTAAAACGTCAAAATTAGTGCCTAATGGATTAAATATGGATGTCTATCATTCAGTAGTCCTGTTTAATTTGAAATTTGGGTAAATTCTAGATTTAGTAAGAAAAACTAATCTATATTCATTTGTTAAAACAAAAATACAATACAAATAATAAATCGTGTTTTCCTAATGTTTTGGTGTGTTTCGATTGTTATAATAAAATACGCTCAACTGGAGGTAAACAAGAAGCGGAGAATAAAATACGCTAAAATGGAGTTTTACCGTGACTTCAGCCTGCTGACATCTAGATTCTACTATTTAAAATATACATACATCTATATCACATGGTACAGTGAAATTTTCAGACATCGTCATAGCATCATTCCACGTTGGCATTCCCATTGGGTCATTGGCATCCAAACAAAAATGAGAATTTCCATGATTAATTTGGAACCCACAAACATCGGCAAGCGCCATGTTGATAAATGATTCTGCAGAAACGGGTAAACTACCAAGTCACACTACGCTACTTTGTGATATCGCATAAATCTTTTACAATTTAGTTCAAAGATTACAATGCATAAGCAAATCTAAATGCTTGTTGATGTTGAATGGTTGTCATATAAATTAAGATGTAATTAAAATTCGCAAACAATTAATAGAATTTAAGTACTATTGAACCCTAAAGTAGTTTTTTTTTTCAAATTGTGATAATTTTATATTAAGACGAAAATTACCTCATTTGTATTCGTGCTTTTAATAATTATTTATAAAATAGTAGGTTTTAAGACAAGCAAGGCACCTAAACAATGGCATTTTTCTGCTTCTTTTCAATGACCTAACGTTCAACTGGCTCTATCTCTGTCGTCCGAGAATTTCTACTATTTAAAGTTTTAGAACTAAAATATTTTTAGTGTGTCTTTCTAAACATTGGCTAGCCTAACTTTTAGAAAGACTTAAAACAAGTGCTATCAAATCCTGCTCAATCGTAGCCCGACATTTAAGACAAAGAAACTGTGAAAGGATTAATCGAAATTAGATATAGCTCTAGCAGTTATTAGAATGGATTCTTCGAATGTAAGAAGTAATTCTTAAATGAAATCGCGCTTTGTAAAAGCGATTTTTACTTTCTCTCTCCTCCCCATAGCATTAAATCGTCAGAAAATCCACCTCACTCTACGAGTGTGACGTCATTTATGGATGACCCCATAGCAACAAAGCGTCAGAAAATCCCCATCCCCCTTTTCCCTAATATGAAGTCATACATCAATCTACTATTCCTTTCAAAATTGCAATTTCTGGGGAGTTTTTTTTTTTTTTTTTTTTTTTTTTTTTTTAAGCCAACTCGGTCAACAATGAGTAGCCTAAATTGTTACATTTTTATTGCAGTTTACGAACATTTATTTTATTGACGGCTAGAATTCAGTTTCGAACATTAATTTTTTGTGTCAAATCAAACGTTTTCTCTGAACACCCCCCCCCCCCTCCAACTCGTCACACATTGTCACAAAAGTCCTTTCCCTTAATCATGTTCACCGCCCCCGCCCCCACCCTCTGAACAAAGTCACAAGCCTATGGATCAGTGGTTCTTAATTTGGGTTCGATCGAACCCCAGGGTTTTGTGGGTTAGTCGTAGGAATTCGGTGGAGGTCAAGACTCAAATGATTCACGATCAGATTTTGTCATTTCGGTGGATGCGTATGTGAAACTTGTGGGTTCGGTACCTCTAAAAAGGTTAAGAATCACAGCTATTGATAGACTTCATAAATCTCGTAATAGCACGCAATATGCACATAATCGGACATTATTGTATTTATTAATAATAGTCTAGATCTATATACAACAATACATTACTGTCCATTTATAACAGCCTTATTATATTTCATTATTGCTTTACCACAATTATGAAGATTGACAAATTTAATAATTATGTTTTCGACGCTTTTAAATCTTTTAGGTTTGGGTGAAACAAGACACCAACATTTCATTTACGCTCGAAAATATTTTCCCCTAGAAAAAAATGCACACCAAACGTGACGAACTATCGGGAAAATGAAATGGCATGAGCGTATGACGTAGCCAAGCAAAATGACGTCACAGCGCAGCTCGGCTTATAATGAAGCATCAACTTGAACATGGCGGTGGTGCCCAACTCCCAACTTTATAGTTAAATAAACAGCCGTGTATTCACCCCGTCTCATTGTAAACACTTTACCACTAACCGATCACCCCAAAATGAAGGTAGGACAATCCACTGTTATAACCAATCGCTGCTAGGTGTATGCTCAGATAACGTTGTAAACGTATTTTGGAAAATAGCTCAATCTACGCGTCACGTTTTCATTAGAAAACGGCAGGGTATGGCAGTAGATCTAGATTCTAGATCTAGAAATCTTGAAGGTTTAATTACATGAACAGATCTAATGATGATGCTGTTTTAAAGCTGTATGATACTGCAGCTGTTGACTGACTTCTCAACGATAAAGTGCGTGTTAGGTGTTAGGTTTCCGATCAAGATCCAGATCTAGACTAGATCTAGATCTATATTCTTTTTAAAAAAAAAAAAAAGATATTAGTAATAACACACTTTCCCAACCCATATTTTGAATCTTTATGCATTACCTTTATTACATACGGGGGAAGGGAGAGGGGGGGGGGGCGTTTAAAAAATGACGTCACTATTTTTAGCCGAGTGTCGTTTTTAAGCCATCGATCTGTTGTCCAACCCCGCCCCCGCCTTTCCCACTTCCAAGAATTGACGTCACAGATTTCCACGCTCAATTGAGATTCTGTCAATCCAATGGTTTATTTAGTCTAATTTTCTTTTGTTTCACAAAATGCTGTGTCACATTTATTTAATCGATCCCTCTCTCACATAGTGGGCCTACATCTCCCCCCCCCCCCCCACCTCCAGCATTCTCTACTCTAGAGAACTACTTTAACCCTGGCAGGTTTTACAAGCTAAGACTAGCTTTATTATTAAGGTTAGCTTTAAACGGTTGTTAGGTCTAAAGCAGTGGTTCTTAGCCTGGTGTTTGTAAGCCAGTCTCAGGGGTTCGGCTAAGTTCCAGACAACCCCCGCTCATTTGATTCACGATCGGATTTTATATTTATCTGTGCGGACGACCGAACTATTATTATTAAGAAGGGTTCAGTGAATGCGCATATGAAACTAGTGTGGTTCGGTACCTCCAAAAAGGTTCAGATCCACTGGTCTAGATCCTAGAGTATGAGCTTAGATAACTTTTTTTCTAACACGCCCCCCCCCCCCTACGATTGTCTATTGAGGAGTCTCGCTATAGGCCTACTAGAGTTAGACTATCCTATATCTAACACTTCATCCGTGTGGTCTATTAGAGTTAGACTATCCTATATCTAACACTTCATCCGTGTGGTCTATTAGAGTTAGACTATCCTATATCTAACACTTCATCCGTGTGGTCTATTAGAGTTAGACTATCCTATATCTAACACTTCATCCGTGTGGTCTATTAGAGTTAGACTCTCCTATATCTAACACTTTATCCTTGCGGTCTAGCCGCGCTTCTATTCTGCTAGTTTAGCAAATTGAGTAGAATAGCTGATGCCTCACAACACAAGACGCGAATGGTAAAAATTCAGGTTTGCAACGGTGTGGTTGAGGGGTAGAGCGCTGATTGATATCAGATTTCAGTCAGTTCCAGATCTGCATGATGCCACCTACTTCAAGCTGTCCAATCATAAAGCATCTAGCTCAAATGTTAACTTGGGGCCAAATTCATCTACCTCTATAATTCTACATTTTTATTTTAAATTGTAATTTTACTTCGTGTTAAAAAGTGTTAAGTTCAGAACATGGTACACATGCAATATAGGCAGTATGTAGTTTAAAAAAAATAATTATTGCCAGTATTAATGTTCAAATCAAGGATAAGGTTTTTTTTCAATGCTCGGACAAGAGTCAATGTTAGGGTAAGAACAACAACACATACTGTACTTTGAATACCTTCTACCGACGTAATAATAAGCAACAGAGTTCTTATAAAAATGCCGATAATAGCCAATGAAAATTAGTCTTCTTCTGTTGTTGTTATTGTTAGGGCCAAAATTAGTGTTAAGGTCAGCGTTTAGGGCTCTACTAGGGGTACAGTACAGTAGAATATCGGCAGATGAATCGTTGTTCCAGTATTATCGTGACAGGATAATGTGGTCAGTTTCCTAAGATGAATCAGGTACCAATAAGCACAGTGTGTACACAGTGTGTACACAGTGTGTACATAGTGTGTACACAGTGTGTACATAGTGTGTACACAGTGTGTACATAGTGTGTACACAGTGTGTACACAGTGTGTACACAGTGTGTACACAGTGTGTACACAGTGAAGTCCTACTGACTCCAGGCCGGGATCTGAACCCGGGACTCTAGTTCAGCTGTCGTGCGCGCTATGGTAGTAGTAAGTTACGTTTTTGTTTTTGCTAGCTATTTCTTCACCGTCATGTAACTCATATAGGTAGTTGCTCAGATAAATGTTGAAAAAAGAACTTTATGTCTCTCAACCAGAGTGCATTAGCTCGGACTCATATTTTCAGTTTAAAGAAAAATACGGACAGTACCTTATGGACAAAGTTTCAGGATTTTTGTTTCAACTGTTGGAAATAAATGTTAGTAGTGGGGTTACTATGAAGTATAATGTTAGAGAAGCGAGTAATGATTAATGTTCGATCAGGTATAGCTATGACTAGAGTTAAGGAAACTATACTTACAAAAACAAAACCGTCTTATCTATAAGATTCCAACACAAATCGTCTGCATCTTCCTCTCTCAACAGATGATTGCAACTTGCAGTAGCACCACCGCCCTCAACCTTTCCCACTGACCTCCTGACCTCCTGACCTCTACCGAAACAAAACCCACGCCTCCAACCTCCAGAAGCACCACCGCCGACTGCCACCACATTTCCCTCTGACCCTTTGACCTCTACCGAAACCCAACCGAAACCTCCAGCCCAGCCAATCAAAATGAGCAAGTCTTTTGTACTGAAACGAAATTCCTCACCGGAGTCACTGGTTATCACTAAAGCCACAGAGCCACGGTAGGTACTGTCATGTTGGGTCCATGGGGGTAGGTGAAGTAGAGTTTCTGTGATCTCTACAAACAAAGGGACAGCGTGGTCAGCACCATGCCCAGCAGACTTTACTTTCCCTAACTTGAGTCAGGTACCCATCAAAGCTGGGTGTGCTCTGAGGCGTCCTACGGACTCAGCGGGATTCGAACCAGCACGTTTAGTTTATCAGTAATTTATGTCATTTTATACATATAATAATCTTACATTTTAAAATGCAGGCCTAAATTTTTATAGCTAAGAGCGGATCTCCAGAGAGCAAAAGTCTTAACCACACAACACAACTAATATATATATATATATATATATATATATATATATATATATATATATATATATATATATATATATATATATATATATGTTTATGTTGAAGTATTAAAAAGGTATATATATATATATATATATATATATATATATATATATATATATATATATATATATATATATATACCTTTTTAATACTTCAACATAAACCAAGGGTCTGTATGGATGTTAAACTGACCCAGTGTTTCAGTAGAAGTCATTGAACCCATTTTTCTGGGCATATGGCTATCAACCATGTCCGTGTATCAACAGTACCTTGAAATAAAGTTGGATTAGAACTGGCGCTAGACTTAAATGAAAATGATTGAAGTCAAAAGACGAATGGTTATTTTCCTTTCTTCTATTTTAGCACAAAGTCATTACCGAGGGAACAACCTGCGAGGTATGGCAAACCATACCAGAGATCAGAGTTTAACTTGGATGTAAGACTTCCCACCTTTAGAGTTTATGCTGTTTAACATTTAGATGAGTACAATAAATGGGTATGACAACGTGTTAACTGGACATGACAACGCTTTTTTTCTGTCAGGACAACGTTCATTAGGACAAGAAAACCTTAATTCTGACTTACAATGCGTTAATTAGACAAGACAAAGGTAATTTAGACATGGCAACACATCATTCTAACATGGCTATCGTCATTAGGAATTAATAGTGCTTAACTTGGGTAAGACAACGAGTTTTTTTTTTGGACAAGAAAATGCGTGATTGGGATAAGATAGCTCTTATTTGACAGAGTTTCTTTCAGGCATCACTTGGGGCGGGAAATGACCCCACCCGAACCACCTCTACTAACCCCCACCCCCCTCCCCCAAAGGAAATAGACTTTATATACAAATTAGATACTTTTACTAGTGTCCCCTTTCCCCCACCTTCCAACGGAGAAAAAAAGTCTGAAAGAAACTCTATTGGACTTTTTATGTTACAGACAACCCATTGCTAGACCAAGACAACTGCACTTTAACGACTTGCTCAATTGAACACTACTTTAATCATATGCTAACCTAAAGTAGTTTATGTACTACACACATTTATAAATTAAGCTCCAAACAAATTGTCACATGTTATCTTTGTTATCTTTGATGTCAAATTGTTTCATCCACTGACCCCAGGGTTCGATAACTCGTTGCCCCGTGCACGACCCTCCTCGGTAAGTCGCTTGTATCAGTTGTTCCACATTGGTGCTGTCAAGGTTAGCATGTAGCAATAGTTTAGTTTTAATTCACGTTAATCAGGTTGTGCGATATATAGAGCTTTCTTCTGTGGACATTCATAGCTATGCAAATGTATAACCTATCAATATTCTTAGTAGTTTTTTTAAATTGCATATGTAAAACAACTCTCGTTGTAAGTTATTACTAAGCTTATGTTTTGTTTAAAAGCTACTTCTATATGTTTAGTATAATACATGCATCTTTACGGGAAATATCAAACAGTAGTGCTAAATATAGTAAGCTTAAGACTCAATTATCTTGTATTTTTAAGAGTTCTGATAGTTAGCGTAAAGTTGTCAAGATAAAACATTCAATAAATTGTTCTGAAAGAGGGCGTGTGCGGATAAGACACTGAATGAGTAGTTCTAAAAGAGGGAGTAGAGTTACTGACATAAAAACTTGTCAATGAAACTTTCAGCAGATCCGTCATAGCGTCTCCTCGGATGTCCGTCGTCGACAACGGTTACATGAACAATAAGAGCATCGGCAAGCGGTTCACCAGCGTACAGAACTGGAACACTATCTACACCTCCAAGTACGTGCATTGGTTATGTAGAATCTCATGGTTACTGTCATAGGTGTGACATGGTTACTGTCATAGATGTGTCATGTTTACTGTCATAGGTGTGTCATGGCTACTGTCATAGATGTGTCATGGTTACTGTCTAAGATATGTCATGGTTACTGTCATAGATGTGTCATGTTTACTGTCATAGGTGTGTCATGGTTACTGTCATAGGTGTGTCATGTTTACTGTCATAGGTGTGTCATGGTTACTGTCATAGATGTGTCATGGTTACTGTCATAGGTCATGGTTACTGTCATAGATGTGTCATGGTTACTGTCATAGGTGTGTCGTGGTTACTGTCATAGATGTGTCATGTTTACTGTCATAGGTGTGTCATGGTTACTGTCATAGATGTGTCATGGTTACTGTCATAGGTCATGGTTACTGTCATAGATGTGTCATGGTTACTGTCATAAGTGTGTCATAGTTAATGTCATAGATGTGTCATGGTTACTGTCATAAATGTGTCATGCCATGGTTACTGTCATAGATGTGTCATGGCTACTGTTATAGATGTCTGATTGTTACTCTCATAAGTGTGTCATGGTTACTGTCATAAATGTGTCATGCCATGGTTACTGTCATAGATGTGTCATGGCTACTGTTATAGATATCTGATTGTTACTCTCATAAGTGTGTCATGGTTACTGTCATAGATGTGTGATAGTTACTGTCATAGATATCTGATGGTTACTGTCATAGATGTCTGATGGTTACTCTCATAGGTGTGTCATGGTTACTATCATAGATGTCTGATGTTTACTGTCATAGGTTTGTCATGGTTACTGTCATAGATGTGTCATGCCATGGTTACTGTCATAGGTGTGTCATGATTATTTTCATAGATGTGTCATGGCTACTGTCATAGATGTGTCATGCCAGCCATGGTTACTGTCATCGAGGTGTCATAGTTACTGTCTTAGTTGTGTCATGATTACTGTCATAGATGTGTCTTGGTTACTGTCATAGATGTGTCATGGTTACTGTCATAGATGTGTCATGGTTACTGTCATAGGTGTGTCATGGCTACTGTTATAGATGTCTGATGGTTACTCTCATAAGTGTGTCATGGTTACTGTCATAGGTTTGTCATGGTTACTGTCATAGGTTTGTCATGGTTACTGTCATAGGTTTGTCATGGTTACTGTCATAGATGTGTCATGCCATGGTTACTGTCATAGGTGTGTCATGGTTACTGTCATAGGTGTGTCATTGCTACTGTCATATGTGTGTCACAGTTACTGTCATAGGTGTGTTATGGTTACTGTCATAGATGTGTCGTGCTTAAACAGAATATCATGGTTACTGTCATCGAGGTGTCATAGTTACTGTCTTAGGTGTGTCATGGTTACTGTCATAGATGTGTGATGGTTACTGTCATAGGTGTGTCATAGTTACTGTCATAGATGTGTCATGCCATGGTTACTGTCATAGATGTGTCATGGTTACTGTCATATGTGTGTCATGGTTACTGTCATAGATGTGTCATGCCATGGTTACTGTCATAGGTGTGTCAAAGTTACTGTCATAGATGTATCATGGGTTCTGTCATAGGTGTGTCATGGTTACTGTCATAGATGTGTCATGGTTACTGTCATAGGTGTGTCATAGTTAAACATAATATCACGGTTACTGTCATCGAGTTGTCATAGTTACTGTCATAGGTGTGTCATGGTTACTATCATAGATGTGTCATACACCTATTTCAATTTATATATTAGATAAGTAAATACTTACATTTGCAGACGAAAAGCACCATTTTGTCTTTAACAGGTTGCCTAGCTACCAGACCTTTGATCCCGATGACAGCGGCCCCAGCACACCCAGAACAAGCAAACAACTGGTTGGTATGATCAAAAGCAAGGATCTGAAGCGGAAGATGGTCTTTGATCTGCACGAGGAAATGAAGAAGAACGCATACACCACAACGCTGGAAGAGATCTCAGATATGGACAGGTACAACATTCTTACAAAGCTATGGACAGGTACAACATTCTTACAAAGTTATGGACAGGTACAACATTCTTACAAAGCTATGGACAGGTACAACATTCTTACAAAGCTATGGACAGGTACAACATTCTTACAAAGTTATGGACAGGTACAACATTCTTACAAAGCTATGGACAGGTACAACATTCTTACAAAGCTATGGACAGGTACAACATTCTTACAAAGTTATGGACAGGTACAACATTCTTACAAAGTTATGGACAGGTACAACATTCTTACAAAGCTATGGACAGGTACAACATTCTTACAAAGCTATGGACAGGTACAACATTCTTACAAAGCTATGGACAGGTACAACATTGTTACAAAGTTATGGACAGGTACAACATTGTTACAAAGTTATGGACAGGTACAACATTCTTACAAAGTTATGGACAGGTACAACATTCTTACAAAGTTATGGACAGGTACAACATTCTTACAAAGTTATGGACAGGTACAACATTCTTACAAAGTTATGGACAGGTACAACATTCTTACAAAGCTATGGACAGGTACAACATTCTTACAAAGTTATGGACAGGTACAACATTCTTACAAAGTTATGGACAGGTACAACATTCTTACAAAGTTATGGACAGGTACAACATTCTTACAAAGTTTTGGACAGGTACAACATTCTTACAAAGTTATGGACAGGTACAACATTCTTACAAAGTTATGGACAGGTAAAACATTCTTACAAAGTTATGGACAGGTACAACATTCTTACAAAGTTAGGGACAGATACAATATTTACATACAATATGGACAGGAACAATATTTACATACAATATGGACAGGAACAATATTTACATACAATATGGACAAGAACAACATTCTTTCAAAGTTATGGACAGGTTACAACATTCTTACATATATAGACAGGTACAACATTCTTACATATATAGACAGGTACAACATTCTTACATATATAGACAGGTACAACATTGTTACATATATAGACAGGTACAACATTCTTACATATATAGACAGGTACAACATTCTTTCGTATATAGACAGGTACAACATTCTTACATATACAGACAGGTACAACCTATTTACATATATAGACGGGTCCAACATTCTCATACATACATGGACAGATAAAAAAGATATGGATCGATACAAAATTCTCACAGATAAGGGCAGTTACAACATCCTTACACAGATAAGTGCAGGTACTACATTGTCAAAGATATGGAGTGATACAACATTCGCATACTAATAAGGGCAGATACAACACTCTCACATATATTCACAAGTACAACATTATGACACAGATAAGCATTAGAAACAGATTTTGAACAAATGGGCGCTGCATAAGAAGCCGATAGGTTCTGGGAAATTTAAATGATCTTTGGGAACAAATGTAAACATGGCACTCATGTTTGTCCAACCTAGGTTTGTGATTCCTCAAAGGCCTCAAATAGGTGTATAAAACATCTGTATAAAACATCTGTATAAAACATCTGTATAAACCATCTGTATAAAACATCTGTATAAAACATCTGTATAAACCGCCTGTATAAAGCATCTGTATAAAACATCTGTATAAAACATCTGTATAAAACATCTGTATAAACCGTCTGTATAAAGCATCTGTATAAAACATCTGTATAAAACATCTGTATAAAAAATCTGTATAAACCATCTGTATAAAACATCTGTATAAACCGTCTGTATAAAGCATCTGTATAAAACATCTGTATAAAACATCTGTATAAAACATCTGTATAAAACATCTGTATAAAACATCTGTATAAAACATCTGTATAAAACATCTGTATAAAACATCTGTATAAACCGTCTGTATAATGCATCTGTATAAAACATCTGAATAAAACATCTGTATAAAACATCTGAATAAAACATCTGTATAAACCATCTGTATAAAACATCTGTATAAACCATCTGTATAAACCATCTGTATAAAACATCTGGATAAAACATCTGTATAAACCATCTGTATAAAACATCTGCTTACACGCCTCGTAATTTGTCTTGCGTAGAGCTCTTTAAAAAACTCCACAGAGAGCTTAACATATCCATCTTTCAGGATTACGGAAATTTGTCTCACAACGCTCAAGTCGATGATGGAATCTAAGAAGCACCGGAAGTACCTGCACCATATGAACAACAACGCCTTGACCCTGTACCCCACGGCCACACCGACAGATTCCTGGAATAACCTCACCAACAACTCTGTAAGTGCTTGTCTCGTCTCCAGCACATCCTTGTGTTTCCAGACACTTTACAGCACCCACTCCCCCCCCCACTTCGCTGTCAGATAACATAAGACACAACACTACGTAAGTCATAGGATCCCTGAACACATCTGTACATAAAGCATATGGTGTGGCCACAGGACCGTGACCACACCACTCCATAAAGCATAGGACCAACCATAGGACCGTGGCCACAGGACCGTGACCACACCACTCCATAGGACCGTGACCATAGGACCGCGATCAGAGGACCGTGACCATAGGACCGTGACCATAGGACCCTGACCATAGGACCGTGACCATAGGACCGTGACCAGAAGACAGTGACCATAGGACCGTGACCATAGGACCGTGACCATAGGACCGTGACCATAGGACCGTGACCATAGGACTGGGACCATAGGACCGCGACCATAGGACCGTGACCACAGGACCGTGACCACACCACTCCATAGGACCCTGACCATAGGACCGTGACCATAGGACCGTGACCACACCACTCCATAGGACCGCGACCATAGGACCGCGACCATAGGACCGTGACCATAGGACCCTGACCATAGGACCGTGACCATAGGACCGCGACCAGAGGACCGTGACCACACCACTCCATAGGACCGTGACCATAGGACCGTGACCGTAGGACCGCGACCACAGGACCGTGACCATCACCACTCCATAGGACCGTGACCATAGGACCGCGATCAGAGGACCGTGACCATAGGACCGTGACCATAGGACCGTGGCCATAGGACCGTGACCATAGGACCGTGACCATAGGACCGCGACCAGAGGATCGTGACCACACCACTCCATAGGACCGTGACCATAAGACCGTGACCACACCACTCCATAGGACCGCGACCATAGGACCGCGACCATAGGACCGTGACCATAGGACCGTGACCATAGGACCGTGACCATGGGACCGCGACCATAGGACCGTGACCATAGGACCGTGACCATAGGACTGCGACCACAGGACCGTGACCATCACCACTCCATAGGACCGTGACCATAGGACCGCGATCAGAGGACCGTGACCATAGGACCCTGACCACACCACTCCATAGGACCGTGACCATAGGACCGTGACCACACCACTCCATAGGACCGCGACCATAGGACCGCGACCATAGGACCGTAACCATAGGACCGTGACCATAGGACCGTGACCATGGGACCGCGACCATAGGACCGTGACCACACCACTCCATAGGACCGTGACCATAGGACCGTGACCATAGGACCGTGACCATAGGACCGCGACCACAGGACCGTGACCATACTAGGACCATAGGACCGTGACCATAGGACCGTGACCATAGGACCGTGACCATAGGACCGCGACCACAGGACCGTGACCACACCACTCCATAGGACCGTGACCATAGGACCGTGACCATAGGACAGTTTATTCAGAAATGTTGACTCAAATGTTTATTCAGAAATGTTGACTCAAAAGTTTATTCAGAAATGTCGACCTAAATGTTTATTCAGAAATGTTGACTCAATTGTTTATTCAGAAATGTTGACTCAAATGTTTATTCAGAACTCACAACTTTGGACACAACAGTGTCAGCCTTTCCACTGTTTTGTCGTGTTGATTGTTCAAACTACTCTCTCAACTAAATTGACTGATTACAGAAGACCAGTTAATGTGACTCAGTCATCGACTAATTTACAACAGACCTTGAAGAGCTACATCTTACATTTTCATTTGAGTAACATAAAAACATTAATCTGCAAATAAATGAAGTTGTTCATCTGTTTGTCTTTAGAAAAGAACTAGCCTATCAAAAGACCCCATCAGCCTAAACAGTACCTTGTAAGTCTTGACACCCATTCTACAAGCTTTTATTTAGTCATATTATGTACGCTGATCTTTCCGTTAAATTTTGTATCAAATTACAAAAAGGAATTTTATACATCTTTCCCCCCCCCCCCATGTTTTACTTAAATCGATACTTAATGAACAGTTTAGAACATCAGTTAACTATTGTTATTATATTATATTATTTTTGATGAGGTTACTGAGGTTATATATTAGAAATGTGTATAGCTTTTTTGGTTCATATATATATATATATATATATATATATATATATATATATATATATATATATATATATATATATATATATATATATATATATATATATTGCCAAAGATGTGATGTGTATAAAGTAGGTTTCATCAATTGTTGTCTTGACCAATGTTCACATTGTATATCTTCAAGTTACAAACTTTTTTCTTTGATTTACCAAGTCCCGACTTTAATTCAGGCGTCGAGACAGTGTCCGCCCCATGGACAGCAACTTGATGTTAAGCATTCAAAACGCAAGGTAGGCAAACCTTTTTATTTTTTAATTCAGTTCTCGATAATTTCATTTGACTTTTAGAAAAGTACCGCCAAATGTATTTTTTGCGTCGCATTATCGTCTTCATATTGTACATGGTGCTATTCACACCAACTTCACCCTGATGATTGTTATTGTAGTTTTTGCCATCGTTATCATTGTCTTTATCGACGTCAACATTGTAATCGTACTCCCATTATCATTGGTCTCATCAAAAGCTCCGTTTATTTGTTAGTGTAAGAAATCTGTTGGTGCCCCGACTCTAAAAAAATGTAATGGATGTGGGACAACACCCAACTGTTCTGAGGGGCAGGACGACTTACAGCTTTGTGACTTAGCTTGTTCAGTCAGTTGGGTTTCTAGCTGTTGTGACTTAGCTAGTTCAGTCATTTGGGTTTCTAGCTGTTGTGACTTAGCTTTTTCAGTCAGTTGGTTTGCTATCTGTTGTGACTTAGCTTGTTCAGTCAGTTGATTCTAGCATTTGTGACTTAGCTAGTTCAGTCATTTGATTAGCTAGCTTTTGTGACTTAGCTTGTTCAGTGAGTTGTTTAGCTAGATGTTGTGACTTAGCTTGTTCAGTCAGTTGGTTTAGCTAGATGTTGTGACTTAGCTTGTTCAGTCAGTTGTTTAGCTAGATGTTGTGACTTAGCTTGTACAGTCAGTTGGGTTTCTAGCGTTTGTGATTTAGCTTGTTAAGTGAGATGGTTTGCTAGCTGTTATCTGTTGTTTTACCTGCCCTATTCAACGCCACAATGAAAGCACAGAACGTTTCACCATATTTTACACCGAAGGATTGCGTATATTTAATGCAGATGGATCATGCACAAACTTTTTTTACTCACTATTCTACTATATAATACCTGAAAACATAATAATATGCGGATCACTGCTTCACGCTAGCACGACTAAAGTAAAAGACTAACAATTTATTTTAAGTAAAAAACTTAACAAACAGTATATTTATAGTTTTGCCAACAGCTTTGTTTCAAATTTTGTATGCTATTTTGTAAGAAAAAAAATATAAAGCCTGATATATTTAAAGAAAATAGATGAAGGCCAGTTGTGCTATCTTAATCGTTCACACATTTTTTACTGCTGGGACTGTAGCAACAAGAAGAATTTCAGCAATTTGAAAGCAGTGTTACTCTCTAACTCATGGTATGACAATATAACTGTGAGAAAATACTCACACGTTCCACTGTGTTGTAGGCCAATTTTGCCAGATTTCAGCTACACACCTGCACGAATAATCAAAGCTCGGGAGTTCAAGTAAAAAAAAAAAGCATTTAATATTTTAAATCTCCCTAATCTCCTGAGCTGAAACGAATCCGGCACACGAAAGGCCATTCAAATTTGTAATAGTTCTATGTCAACGTGGTTTTGTTTAAAACCCATCTGAAACGACTTTTTCATTACGTAACCACCAAACCAAGCGCATCAACTCTTCTTAGAAGCCATATTGAATTCCTATTTTTGTCTTGTTTCAGAATGACAAAACCCGCGAAAAGAAATTACATGTTGTAAGTAAACATTGTGCATGTGGAGCGTCTTTTTAATTTACGTGTGGGTCGTAATGTACGAATATTGAGTAAAAATTTTAAAATACATTACTTGGGGACTCTGGTTGTGAATTACTTCGCTTACAAAACGTTTTGGGTTATGCATGATTTGATGACTAAAAATAAACTCGGGTTTCTGATCCAAGTAACGAATTAAACCGCTGTTCAGTTTTACACAGATGGTGTTAAAACTATTAGTTGCACATTTTAAAATGTTTTCCGCTCCTCGGTACTCTGTGGTCAAAAAGTTTCGGTTAACGAACTCGGTCGAAAACAGGTCAAAAATATGTTTCAGGTTACGGGTTCAGTCATAAAAAAGTGTGTTGTGGCTTACTACAGAGTAAAGAAATCTTTTTCTTGTTAAGGAGCCATTCATGACATGTCTTGGATTACGAACTTGGTCATGGAAAGTTGTCTTGGATTACGAACTTGGTCAAGGAAAGGTGCCTTGGGTTACGAACTTGGTCAAGGAAAGGTGTCTTGGGTTACGAACTTGGTCAAGGAAAGGTGTCTTGGGTTACGAACTTGGTCAAGGAAAGGTGTCTTGGGTTACGAACTTGGTCAAGGAAAGGTGTCTTGGGTTACGAACTTGGTCAAGGAAAGGTGTCTTGGATTACGAACTTGGTCAAGGAAAGGTGTCTTGGATTACGAACTTGGTCAAGGAAAGGTGCCTTGGGTTACGAATTTGGTCAAGGGAAGGTGTCTTGGGTTACGAACTTGGTCAAGAAAAAGTGTCTTGGGTTACGAACTTGGTCAAGGAAAAGTGTCTTGGATTACGAACTTGGTCAAGAAAAAGTGTCTTGGGTTACGAATTTGGTCAAGGAAAAGTGTCTTGGATTACGAACTTGGTCAAGAAAAAGTGTCTTGGGTTACGAATTTGGTCAAGGAAAGGTGTCTTGGGTTACGAATTTGGTCAAGGGAAGGTGTCTTGGGTTACGAACTTGGTCAAGGAAAGGTGTCTTGGGTTACGAATTTGGTCAAGGAAAGGTGTCTTGGGTTACGAATTTGGTCAAGAAAAAGTGTCTTGGGTTACGAATTTGATCAAGGAAAGGTGTCTTGGATTACGAACTTGGTCAAGAAAAAGTGTCTTGGGTTACGAATTTGGTCAAGGAAAGGTGTCTTGGGTTACGAACTTGGTCAAGGAAAAGTGTCTTGGTTTACTAACTTGTTTAAGTAAAGGTGTCTTTTTGTTACTAAATTAATTGGTCAATGCTTTTAACCTCAAAATCCGAATCTCCAATGTATTAGGTTGTATTTATTATATCACTGTGTCACTCGCAATGTTGTATTTAGTATAGCACTGTCTCTGTCACAATATTATATTTAGTATATCACTATGTCAGTCGCAATATTGTATTCAATATAGCACTGTCTTTGTCACAATATTGTATTTAGTATAGCACCGTCTCTGTCACAATTTTGTATTTAGTATAGCACAGTCTCTGTCACAATGTTGTGTATAGCACTGTCTCTGTCACAATATTGTATTTAGTATAGCACTGTCTCTGTCACAATTTTGTATTTAGTATAGCACTGTCTCTGTCACAAAATTGTATTTAGTATAGCACTGTCTCTGTCACAATATTGTATTTAGTATAGCACAGTCTCAGTCATAATATTTTGTTTAGTATAGCACTGTCTCTGTCACAGTATTGTATTTAGTATATGACTGTCTCTGTCACAATATTGTATTTAGTATAGCACTGTGTCACAATTTTGTATTTAGTATAGCACAGTCTTTGTTACAATTTTGTATTTAGTATAGCACTGTCTCTGTCACAATATTGTATTTAGTATAGAACTGTCTCTGTCACAATATTGTATTTAGTATAGCACAGTCTCTGTCACAATATTGTATTTAGTATAGCACTGTCTCTGTCACAATATTGTATTTAGTATAGCACTGTGTCACAATTTTGTATTTAGTATAGCACTGTGTCACAATTTTGTATTTAGTATAGCACAGTCTCTGTCACAATATTGTATTTAGTATAGCACAGTCTCTGTCACAATATTGTATTTAGTATTTGTTTAATGTTGCAGAGTTCCTGGTATTGGACGAATTTTAAGGTATGTCCTTAGGATCCCGATTCACTATGTAACATTATCGTCAAAACCATACACATTTAAAATTACAAACATACAAGTATTTAATGGTTGCCATTTTAATTTTTTCCACTTAGTGTTACAGGACAGGAGAGGGTTACGATTAGGTTAATGATAAATGCAATATTTATTGATTACACTTTATTTTTTATTTTAAATTTGACTTGGCTTGTCCAGTTCCTGTAAAAAAAAAAGACGTAATGCGTTTTAGAGATCACTATCGATAAAAAAATACGACATATAAAATAAACAATTATTTTAGGGCACATATAAATGTAATTTACTGAAATAGGACTTTTAAATTACACCACTACAAATATAAATTAACAATACGTATGTTTTACAAACACAGAGCACATGTATCTTTACTTCTAGTATCATGTTTGTGTTTAACTATATATCTATTTATACATGGCCTGTGTATATTGAAGAACTGGTCCTGAGGTCACAGATGGAAAGCGGAAGGTGCCACGTTTAGGTTCGTGATTTTTATGTTTGATTTTGTGTGACTGTGGTTTTTGTTTGATAAAATGATGCCAGAATTTTTGCAAGACATAGCTCCCTGTTGTATTCCCCTTGTCGCTACATTTTATTTGCCTGTCGAAGAACCGCATTCGTCACTAATTTTACTGGCGTCATTTAGGCTAGGATTAGAGTTAAAACTGGGTTAAGATTTACTTAGATCTAGATGTAAACGTGATTAATCAACTACACTAGCAGCAGGAGTGATTTGCGCCCAATTCAAGAAGATTTGCTATTATTCCTGTTGTATATCAGTCAGCAAGACGATTTTCTGTTATTCCTGTTGTATGTTAGCAAGACAATTTGCTGTTATTCCTGTTGTATATTAGTTAGCAAGACAAGTGGCCTTTTAACCAAGCGGTCAAAAAGTAACATTAATTTTATTTGTGAGCTAAAAGTGTGTACTTGATTTGTGAGCTAAAGTATGTATTTTAATTTGTGTAAAAGTGTACTTAATTTGTGAGCTAAAGTATGTATTTGATTTGTGTAAAAGTTTATACTTGATTTGTGACCTAAAGTATGTATTTTAATTTGTGTAAAAGTGTACTTGATTTGTAAGCTAAAGTATGTATTTGATTTGTTTTAAAGCGTGTGCATGATTTGAGAGCTAAAAGTGTACTTGATTTATGAGCTAAAATGTGTAATTGATTTGTGAGTTAAAAGTGTGTATTTGATTTGGAGCTAAAAGTGTACTTGATTCATGAGCTTAAATGTGTAATTGATTTATGAGTTAAAAGTGTGTATTTGATTTGGGGCTTAAAAGTGTGTATTTGATTTGGGGATTGAAATTGTGTATTTGATTTGTAAGTTAAAAGTGTATTTTTATTTATGAGCTGAAAACGTATACTTGATTTGTGAGCTAAAAATGTGTTTGATTTGTGAGCCAAAAGTATGTATTTAATTTGAGAGCTAAAGTATGTACTTGATTTGTGAGCTAAATGTGTGTTTGATTTGTGAGCTAAAATGTGCACTTGATTTGTGAGCTAAGATTGTGTATTTGATATGTGAGCTAAAAGAGTACTTTTGTGAGCTTAAAGTATGTAATTGATTTGTGAGCTAAAAGTTGTATTTAATTTGAGAGCTAAACTTGTGTTATAGATTTGTGAGCTAAAAGTTTGTACTTGATTTATGAGCTACAGTATATATTTGATTTGAGAGCTAAAGTATGTACTTTTGTGAGCTAAAAGTATGTACTTGATTTGCGAGCTATAGTATGTATTTAATTTGAGAGATAAACTTGTGTTATGGATTTGTGAGCTAAAAGTCTGTACATGATTTACTTGACGTGTGAGCTTAACGGCGTGTTCTTCATGATTTGTGAGCAGGTAGTGAAGCAAGCAGTTCCAGTGATGGCAGTATCGAAAATGTGAGTACCCATGGTCGGTTTTCTTAAGTTTAGGATCCTGCCCATTTGTATTCCATAGACGGTGTATACTGGTGGCTTACAATGGTTTCATGGTACTGAGGATAGGTGCGGTATAGAGCCAGTGTTTCTACCAGACTGTTTTCTCCCCGGGGGGGGGGGGGGGGAAGGGTACTTGAAATTTTCTGGGGAAGGGCGGTAGAATTTTTTCGAGATGCCTGGAAGAAACTCTGTATAGAGCAATGGTATAATTACACTACATTTCTTTATTCGTAAAATGTCGGCCGCTCATAAAGTAAGTGAACTGATACTAATGGCTAATACACATGCAGTGCCAATTATTTATGATAATGAAAAAAATATTCGTGCATGATCCCTTAATATAAAAGTCGGAAAAAGTAATTTTTGTTTATACATGTATTTAAAATTTTTAAAAAATATTAAGCGAAATATTTTGCGTTTAATATGATGTTAAAACTATAGACATACACAATTAAATCTTTAGGATTCATTTCCAAAAAAACATTCTTTGTATTTCTCACAGTCTTTTTTCCAAAAAGACGAAAACAAGGCACTGAAAATGCTTACCGACCTACAGGCCCAGCTGCACCTACAGGAAGATGACGGCAAACCGTGAGCTAGTTTTTGTTTTAGTCTTGTAAGTGCTAGTCACTGAGCTCTCAAACGGTGGGTGCTAGTAGCTTAGGTACCACATTGTATGTGCTAGTCACTGAGCTATTAATATGTGGGTGCTAGTAGCTTAGGTACCACATTGTATGTGCTAGTCACTGAGCTATTAATATGTGGGTGCTAGTCACTGAGCTCTCAACGTCTGGGTGCTAGTAGCTTAGGTACCACATTGTATGAGCTAGTCACTAAGCTATTACTATGTGGGTGCTAGTCACTGAGCTCATAACGTCTGGGTGCTAGTAGCTTAGGTACCACATTGTATGAGCTAGTCACTAAGCTATTACTATGTGGGTGCTAGTCACTGAGCTCTCAACGTCTGGGTGCTAGTAGCTTAGGTACCACATTGTATGAGCTAGTCACTAAGCTATTACTATGTGGGTGCTAGTCACTGAGCTCTCAACGTCTGGGTGCTAGTAGCTTAGGTACCACATTGTATGTGCTAGTCACTGAGCCATTACATTGTGGGTACTATCCCTGAGCTATCACATTGTTGGTACTATCACTGAGCCATCACATTGTGGGTACTATCACTGAGCCATCACATTGTGGGTGCTATCACTGAGCCATCACATTGTGGGTGCTAGTCACTGAGCTATCACATTGTGGGTGCTAGTCACTGAGCCATCACATTGTGGGTACTATCACTGAGCTATCACATTGTGGGTACTATCACTGAGCTATCACATTGTGGGTACTATCACTGAGCTATCACATTGTGGATACTATCACTGAGCTATCACATTGTGGGTACTATCACTGAGCTATCACATTGTGGGTACTATAACTGAGCTACCACATTGAGGGTGCTAGTCACTGAGCCATCACATTGTGGGTACTATCACTGAGCCATCACATTGTGGGTACTTTCACTGAGCCATTACATTGTGGGTACTAGTCACTGAGCCATCACATTGTGGGTACTATCACTGAGCTATCACATTGTGGGTACTATCACTGAGCCATTACATTGTGGGTACTATCACTGAGCCATTACATTGTGGGTACTAGTCACTGAGCTATCACATTGTGGGTACTATCACTGAGCTATCACACCGTGGGTGCTAGTCACTGAGCTATCACATTGTGGGTACTATCACTGAGCTACCACATTGTGGGTGCTAGTCACTGAGCCATTACATTGTGGGTACTAGTCATTGAGCTATTACATTGTGGGTACTATCACTGAGCTATCACATTGTGGGTACTAGTCACTGAGCTATTACATTGTGGGTACTATCACTGAGCCATTACATTGTGGGTACTAGTCACTGAGCTATTACATTGTGGGTACTATCACTGAGCTATCACATTGTGGGTACTAGTCACTGAGCTATTACATTGTGGGTACTATCACTGAGCAATTACATTGTGGGTACTATCACTGAGCTATTACATTGTGGGTACTAGTCACTGAGCCATCACATTGTGGGTACTATCACTGAGCTATCACACCGTGGGTGCTAGTCACTGAGCTATCACATTGTGGGTACTATCACTGAGCTATCACATTGTGGGTACTTTCACTGAGCCATCACATTGTGGGTACTATCACTGAGCCATTACATTGTGGGTACTAGTCACTGAGCTATTACATTGTGGGTACTATCACTGAGCTATCACATTGTAAGTACTAGTCACTGAGCCATTACATTGTGGGTACTAGTCACTGAGCTATTACATTGTGGGTACTATCACTGAGCTATCACATTGTGGGTACTAGTCACTGAGCTATTACATTGTGGGTACTATCACTGAGCCATTACATTGTGGGTACTAGTCACTGAGCTATTACATTGTGGGTACTATCACTGAGCTATCACATTGTGGGTACTAGTCACTGAGCTATTACATTGTGGGTACTATCACTGAGCAATTACATTGTGGGTACTATCACTGAGCTATTACATTGTGGGTACTAGTCACTGAGCCACCACATTGTGGGTACTATCACTGAGCTATCACACCGTGGGTGCTAGTCACTGAGCTATCACATTGTGGGTACTATCACTGAGCTATCACATTGTGGGTACTTTCACTGAGCCATCACATTGTGGGTACTATCACTGAGCCATTACATTGTGGGTACTAGTCACTGAGCTATTACATTGTGGGTACTATCACTGAGCTATCACATTGTGGGTACTTTCACTGAGCCATTACATTGTGGGTACTATCACTGAGCTATCACATTGTGGGTACTATCACTGAGCTATCACATTGTGGGTACTATCACTGAGCTATCACATTGTGGGTACTATCACTGAGCTATCACATTGTGGGTACTATCACTGAGCTATCACATTGTGGGTACTATCACTGAGCCATCACATTGTGGGTACTATCACTGAGCTATCACATTGTGGGTACTATCACTGAGCTATCACATTGTGGGTACTATCACTGAGCCATCACATTGTGGGTACTATCACTGAGCCATCACATTGTGGGTACTATCACTGAGTTATCACATTGTGGGTGCTAGTCACTGAGCCATCACATTGTGGGTACTATCACTGAGCCATCACATTGTGGGTACTAGCACCGAGCCATCACATTGTGGGTACTATCACTGAGCTACCACATTGAGGGTGCTAGTCACTGAGCCATCACATTGTGGGTACTATCACTGAGCCATCACATTGTGGGTGCTATCACTGAGCTATCACATTGTGGGTACTATCACTGAGCCATCACATTGTGGGTACTATCACTGAGCTATCACATTGTGGCTACTATCACTGAGCTATCACATTGTGGTTACTATCACTGAGCCATTACATTGTGGGTACTAGTCACTGAGCCATCACATTGTGGGTGCTATCACTGAGCTATCACATTGTGGGTACTAGTCACTGAGCTATCACATTGTGGGTGCTATCACTGAGCCATCACATTGTGGGTACTATCACTGAGCCATCACATTGTGGGTGCTATCACTGAGCCATCACATTGTGGGTGCTAGTCACTGAGCTATCACATTGTGGGTGCTAGTCACTGAGCTATCACATTGAGGGTACTATCACTGAGCTATCACATTGTGGATACTATCACTGAGCTATCACATTGTGGGTACTATCACTGAGCTATCACATTGTGGGTACTATAACTGAGCTACCACATTGAGGGTGCTAGTCACTGAGCCATCACATTGTGGGTACTATCACTGAGCCATCACATTGTGGGTACTTTCACTGAGCCATTACATTGTGGGTACTAGTCACTGAGCTATTACATTGTGGGTACTATCACTGAGCTATCACATTGTGGGTACTATCACTGAGCCATTACATTGTGGGTACTATCACTGAGCCATTACATTGTGGGTACTAGTCACTGAGCCATCACATTGTGGGTACTATCACTGAGCTATCACACCGTGGGTGCTAGTCACTGAGCTATCACATTGTGGGTACTATTACTGAGCTACCACATTGTGGGTGCTAGTCACTGAGCCATTACATTGTGGGTACTAGTCACTGAGCTATTACATTGTGGGTACTATCACTGAGCTATCACATTGTGGGTACTAGTCACTGAGCTATTACATTGTGGGTACTATCACTGAGCCATTACATTGTGGGTACTAGTCACTGAGCTATTACATTGTGGGTACTATCACTGAGCTATCACATTGTGGGTACTAGTCACTGAGCTATTACATTGTGGGTACTATCACTGAGCCATTACATTGTGGGTACTATCACTGAGCTATCACATTGTGGGTACGATCACTGAGCTATTACACCGTGGGTGCTAGTCACTGAGCTATTACATTGTGGGTACTATCACTGAGCTATCACATTGTGGGTACTATCACTGAGCTATCACATTGTGGGTACTATCACTGAGCTATCACATTGTGGGTACTATCACTGAGCTATCACATTGTGGGTACTATCACTGAGCTATCACATTGTGGGTGCTATCACTGAGCCATCACATTGTGGGTACTATCACTGAGCTATTACATTGTGGGTACTAGTCACTGAGCCATCACATTGTGGGTACTATCACTGAGCTATCACATTGTGGGTACTTTCACTGAGCCATCACATTGTGGGTACTATCACTGAGCCATTACATTGTGGGTACTATCACTGAGCTATCACACCGTGGGTGCTAGTCACTGAGCTATCACATTGTGGGTACTATCACTGAGCTATCACATTGTGGGTACTTTCACTGAGCCATCACATTGTGGGTACTATCACTGAGCCATTACATTGTGGGTACTATCACTGAGCTATCACATTGTGGGTACTATCACTGAGCTATCACATTGTGGGTACTATCACTGAGCTATCACATTATGGGTACTATCACTGAGCTATCACATTGTGGGTACTATCACTGAGCTATCACATTGTGGGTACTATCACTGAGCCATCACATTGTGGGTACTATCACTGAGCTATCACATTGTGGGTACTATCACTGAGCTATCACATTGTGGGTACTATCACTGAGCCATCACATTGTGGGTACTATCACTGAGCCATCACATTGTGGGTACTATCACTGAGTTATCACATTGTGGGTGCTAGTCACTGAGCCATCACATTGTGGGTACTATCACCGAGCCATCACATTGTGGGTACTATCACTGAGCCATCACATTGTGAGTGCTATCACTGAGCTATCACATTGTGGGTACTATCACTGAGCTATCACATTGTGGGTACTATCACTGAGCTATCACATTGTGGGTACTATCACTGAGCTATCACATTGTGGGTACTATCACTGAGCTATCACATTGTGGTTACTATCACTGAGCCATTACATTGTGGGTACTAGTCACTGAGCCATCACATTGTGGGTGCTATCACTGAGCTATCACATTGTGGGTACTATCACTGAGCTATCACATTGTGGTTACTATCACTGAGCTATCACATTGTGGGTACTATCACTGAGCTATCACATTGTGGGTACTATCACTGAGCTATCACATTGTTGGTACTATAACTGAGCCATCACATTGTGGGTACTATCACTGAGCCATAACATTGTGGGTACTATCACTGAGCTATCACATTGTGGTTACTATCACTGAGCTATCACATTGTGGGTACTATCACTGAGCTATCTCATTGTGGGTACTATCACTGAGCTATCACATTGTGGGTGCTAGTCACTGAGCTATCACATTGTGGGTACTATCACTGAGCTATCACATTGTGGATACTATCACTGAGCCATTACATTGTGGGTACTATCACTGAGCTATCACATTGTGGGTACTATCACTGACCTCTGACATTGTGGGTAATATCACTGAGCCATCACATTGTCGGTACTATCACTGAGCCATTACATTGTGGGTACTATCACTGAGCCATTACATTGTGGGTGCTAGTCACTGAGCTATCACATTGTGGGTACTATCACTGAGCTATTACATTGTGGGTACTATCACTGAGCCATTACATTGTGGGTGCTAGTCGCTGAGCTATCACATTGGGGGTGCTAGTCACTGAGCCATCACATTGTGGGTGCTAGTCACTGAGCCATCACATTGAGGGTGCTAGTCACTGAGCCATCACATTGTGGATGCTAGTCACTGAGCCATTACATTATGGGTGCTAGTCACTGAGCCATCACATTATGGGTGCTAGTCACTGAGCCATCACATTGTGGTTGCTATCACTGAGCTTTCACATTGTGGGTGCTAGTCACTGAGCCATCACATTGTGGTTGCTATCACTGAGCTTTCACATTGTGGGTGCTAGTCACTGAGCCATCACATTAGGGGTGCTAGTCACTGAGCTATTACATTGTGGGTGCTAGTCACTGAGCTATCACATTGTGGGTACTATCACTGAGCTATCACATTGTGGGTACTATCACTGAGCTATCACATTGTGGGTACTATCACTGAGCTATCACATTGTGGGTACTATCACTGAGCTATCACATTGTGGGTGCTAGTCACTGAGCCATCACATTAGGGGTGCTAGTCACTGAGCTATTACATTGTGGGTACTATCACCGAGCCATCACATTGTGGGTACTATCACTGAGCTATCACATTGTGGGTACTATCACTGAGCTATCACATTGTGAGTGACCGACACTGAACTTATCATTGGGTGGGGTTTGTCGCTGTATATATGCTAGAAATTGATGCTGATGTGAATAAACGTCATGGCATAATGTTGATAGATTTACACACATCCGGTCATGATGGTGTCATGTATAGTATTGATGTGACTGGCGTGTGTATACATGCCATGATGTTGCCGGATGTACACACGTGCCATAATGCTATGAAATGTACACATCAGGGTACAACTGACATGCAGTTCCAGACTTCTATTTCTGTCCCCACAGAAAACCTGAGCCTAGAAAACATGTTCCACTACTGACTCCAGAGGAAGCTTTGGCATGCAAATGGCTACGGTTGACACCCGTGAGTCGTACTAAATTAACACTTAATTAACTGGACACCTAATTAACTTGACACTTAATTAACTTGACATTTAATTAACTTAACACTTAATTAAGTTGACACTAATTAACTTGACAATTAACTTGACACTTAATTAACTTCACTTAATTAACTGCACACTTACTTAACTGCACACTTAATCAACTTAACAATTAACACTTAATTAACTGAACACTCAATTAACTGAACACTTAATTAACTGAACACTTATTTAACTTAACACTTAATTATCTTAACACTTAAATTGACTTAACAATAATTAACTGAACACTTAATTAACTGAACAATTAATTAACTGACTGGACACTTAATTAACTTAACACTCAGTTAAGAGATTAAGCAAGTAAATCAGATCGGCAGACGTCAAGAAATGACCTCGTTTAACCCCAGTTTGTTATAAACTTGAAAGGTTTTGATTTGTTCAATAAGAGGAGTGGGGGTTTACTATTCAGATAAAAATACGCTTCCATTTGATATTTATATTCAAGATGGGGTATATTTCACCTACCAAAACTGGTAAAAGTATATATTCTATAAAAATTCTAATTCGTTTGGGATGGGGGGTGCGGTGGTCATGCTTTCTTCCCCCCCCCCCCTTCTCGCGAAGATATTCCGGAAAGATTGGGTTTAACCTTCCATAAACGCGATTTGTACCTGATATTTTCTGATTTCAACAAGACTTTTTTTTTTTAACACGATAACTTGTAATAGTATTACTACTAGTAAAGTTACCAAAAAAATATTTATCCGTATACATATCACATACACGCAATACAGACATAATGTCACACTGTAAATGTTTCTAGATCCTGTATCTAACCTTTACTTTTAACCCCCCCTCCCACCCCTCCTCCACCCCCTTTCTTCCTGGATGTACGACACTTGAAACTAGTCCCAAGTTGCAGATTTGGAAAAAGTTATGAGAAGCCGTGGCGTCGATCCAGGCATTCACGAACATTCTAAGTTTGACGACTATGACGTCTTTTCTGAAATAAGGATGTTAAGGTGTTGATAGCCATTCTAATACTACGGATAGTACTTATACGGTATTTTAATACACTTTATTATTCTAATTATTTTCATAGTTCCTGTTTCTTTAAATAATAATAACTTTCAACTTTTTTTGGTTAAAAAGACATTGCATCTTTTGTTTTCAAGGAGCGAGAACGACCAGACGTATGTAGAGGTGATCGAAGAAGAAGAAGATCTGGAAGAGTCAAATGAAGACAATGAAGGTGTTATCAAACAATAAATTTGTAGTGCTAAGCGGAAATTCGGTGAATACTGTCGACAGATCAAAACGAAGAGAATTCACTTACAAGCGTTGTGCTATTTTTAAACCGATGATGTACTGACGACGCGGCTGCTATTTTTAGACCGGTCACAACGAGGCTAGGAGAATGGACTGGGATGTGAATTGACGCTGTGTTGTGTGAGCTTTTCCCTCGGTACAGACTTGTGATAACCAGTGATGACGTCACTTGATAAAACCAATAAAACTGTGGTGATGATGTGTGTCTTTGGCATTTTTTTCTCCATTGTTTTAAATTTTAAACAGTAATTGTGGGTTTGTTTACTACCTGCTTAAAGGTAGTTAACTCGAAATCTGCGTCCATTAGCGATTGCTTCCCCTAGGCCAAAAGTAATGTAATTATTTATAGTTAGCATTTAAATACAGCTAACGTTACAATTGAAACTGGCAACTTTGTTATATCCAAAAAGAAATCATTAACATTTAGGCCTATAACTTATTAATGTTTGTAAAATGTAGTTGATAAGTTTTTATTTTTTGAGACATTTGTATTTTGATTACGGTGTAACTAGTTTTTAGTATGTTTCATTGCATCACAGCCAACGAACGTTAAGTAATAAACATCTACTACTGTTGCCGACATATAGAAGAGTCGCTTATATCAAGGACTGACACCTACAATCACAAGTCAATTGATGAGATCTGACATAATTTAAACCTACAATCACAAGTCAACTGACGAGATCTGAATTAATGGAGACCTATAATCACCGGTCAGTCAACGAGATTTGACTTAATGAACACCTACAATCACAAGTCAACTGACGAGATCTGACTTAATGGACACCTACAATCACAAGTCAATGAACGAGATCTGACTTAATGGACACCTACAATCACAAGTCAACTGATGAGATCTAACTTAATGAACACCTACAATCACAAGTCAACTGACGAAATCTGACTTAATGGACACCTACAATCACAAGTCAATCAACGAGATCTAACTTAATGGACACCTACAATCACAAGTCAACTGATGAGATCTGACATAATTTACACCTACAATCACAAGTCAACTGACGAGATCTAACTTAATGGACACCTACAATCACAAGTCAACTGATGATATCTGACATAATTTACACCTACAATCACAAGTTAACTGACGAGATCTAACTTAATGGACACCTACAATCACAAGTCAACTGATGAGATCTGACTTAATGGACACCTACAATCACAAGTCAATCAACGAGATCTGACTAATGAACACATACAATCACAAGTCAACTGACGAGATCTGACTTAATGGACACCTACAATCACAAGTCAATCAACGAGATCTGACTTAATGGGCACCTACAATCACAAGTCAACTGATGAGATCTGACTTAATGGACACCTACAATCACAAGTCAATCAACGAGATCTGACTTAATGTACACCTACAATCACAAGTCAACTGATGAGATCTAACTTAATGAACACCTACAATCACAAGTCAATGAACGAGATCTGACTTAATGGACACCTACAATCACAAGTCAACTGACAAGATCTAACTTAATGGACACCTACAATCACAAGTCAACTGATGAGATCTGACATAATTTACACCTACAATCACAAGTCAAGCAACGAGATCTGATTTAATGGACACCTACAATCACAAGTCAACTGATGAGATCTGACATAATTTACACCTACAATCACAAGTCAACTGACGAGATCTGACTTAATGGACAACTACAATCACAAGTCAACTGATGAGATCTGACTTAATGGACACCTACAATCACAAGTCAACTGACGAGATCTAACTTAATGGACACCTACAATCACAAGTCAACTGATGAGATCTGACATAATTTACACCTACAATCACAAGTCAACTGACGAGATCTAACTTAATGGACACCTACAATCACAAGTCAACTGATGATATCTGACATAATTTACACCTACAATCACAAGTTAACTGACGAGATCTAACTTAATGGACACCTACAATCACAAGTCAACTGATGAGATCTGACATAATTTCTACCTACAATCACAAGTCAACTGACGAGATCTAACTTAATGGACACCTACAATCACAAGTCAATCAACGAGATCTGACTTAATGTACACCTACAATCACAAGTCAACTGATGAGATCTAACTTAATGAACACCTACAATCACAAGTCAAGCAACGAGATCTGATTTTATGGACACCTACAATCACAAGTCAACTTATGAGATCTGACATAATTTACACCTACAATCACAAGTCAACTGACGAGATCTGACTTAATGGACACCTACAATCACAAGTCAACTGCTGAGATCTGACTTAATGGACACCTACAATCACAAGTCAACTGATGAGATCTGACATAATTTACACCTACAATCACAAGTCAACTGACGAGATCTAACTTAATGGACACCTACAATCACAAGTCAACTGATGAGATCTGACATAATTTACACCTACAATCACCAGTTAACTGACGAGATCTAACTTAATGGACACCTACAATCACAAGTCAACTGATGAGATCTGACATAATTTACACCTACAATCACAAGTCAAGCAACGAGATCTGATTTAATGGACACCTACTATCACAAGTCAACTGATGAGATCTGACATAATTTACACCTACAATCACAAGTCAAGCAACGAGATCTGATTTAATGGATATCTACAATCACAGCAGTGTTTTTTTTTAAAAGACTTTCTCGAGGGTGGGGGGGGGGGGGGTGGCACATGAAACACGTTAGGCAGGGGAGGGTAGACACTGGTAAAATTATTTTCTATATAAAAATTCTATTTCATTCCGAATGGGAGGAGAGGGGGATGGCGGTAGAATTACATGGGGCTACCGAAGAGATGCCTGAATGAAACACCTTAATCACATGTCTACTGACGTAATACTATTTGTCCTGATATTTTTGTCCTGGTATCTTTTGTCCGTGAGATCATTTGACCTTGAGTTGATTTGTCCTGAGATCATTTGTTCTGAGATTATTTGTCCTGAGATCATTTGTCATGGAACTGTTGTCCATTATTTATTACATAATGCCAGCTTCAGATGTAATGTCAAACGTTTGTCTAGAACTGACTTACCAAACTTAACCATCCAATTACAATCACATCACTTTTTTTAGCGCTTCACATTTTGACTATTTTGGCTTCATTTTGGCTATAGATCTACATGTTATTGTTGGTCTGTGGTCATGTTGGTCTGTGTTGGCCTATGTTCATGTTGGTTGTGTTCATGTTGGCCTGTGTTCATGTTGGTTGTGTTCATGTTGGCCTGTGTTCATGTTGGTTGTGTTCATGTTGGCCTGTGTTCATGTTGGTTGTGTTCATGTTGGCCTCTGTTCATGTTGGCCCATGTTCATGTTAGCCTATGTTCATGTTGGCCTGTGTTAATGTTGGCCCATGTTCATGTTGGCCTATGTTCATGTTGGCCTGTGTTCATGTTGGCCTATGTTCATGTTGGCCTGTGTTCATGTTAGTCTGTGTTCATGTTGGCCTGTGTTCATGTTGGCCTGTGTTAATGTTGGCCCATGTTCATGTTGGCCTATGTTCATATTGGCCTGTGTTCATGTTGGTCTATGTTCATGTTGGCCTGTGTTAATGTTGGCCTATGTTCATGTTGGCCTATGTTCATGTTGGCCTGTGTTCATGTTGGCCTATGTTCATGTTGGCCTGTGTTCATGTTGGCCTGTGGTCATGTTGGCCTGTGTTTATGTTGGTCTGTGTTCATGTTGGCCTGTGTTCATGTTGGTTAACGATAGAGGAAATACGCAAGGCTGGATGTTGTAGTCTGTAAACCCCTGACCTTCCAGCCGCTGGTTCGCTATCCCTTTAGGTCTTTGTCACGAGCCTTTGAGCCTTTTTTTTCTTCAGTGGCACAGTTTTATTTTTAAATATTTAATTAACAACATTAAACCTGCATAATTATCAAACACGTTTTTGGGGTAAATTATAAGAAATTCACAAACCCACACATTTTAACATTTTATGAAATTGTATAAAAAACAAAACAAAAAAAAAACAAAAAAACAAACAACAACAACAAAAAAACAACAACAACCCACTCATAATCAAAACTAATATAGCTTAAAAATAATTTACAACAACATCCTCATGTCAACATAATGTGCAAACATATGATAGTTCTAGAAAAAACATATTAAAATATTTAAATAAACTAAAAGACAATTTATTTGAAACAATGTATGTTTTTATTTTATTTTTGCCAATAGTTTTGAGGAAGAAATTGTAAAATTATAGAAGCTTAAAGCAACTAGACGTGATGGATAATATTAGCTATTAAAAAGTTGAATCTTTCGTTTAAAAAAATATTCACAAATTCATTACTTAAATTATGGAATCTCATTAACAAAACCGCATTATAGTACTGGATAACATGTATATAAAACTAATAGACGATGATGTTAGCTTGAAACTGGATGGTCAAATAACGTCACCTAATTAGCCTGGATGGTGAGATACGTGCTGGTCAAATGACGTCACCTGATGAATTGATGAGCCTGGATAATGAGAGACGTGCTGGTCAAATGACGTCACCTGATGAATTGATTAGCCTGGAGGATTTGCGGACGTGCTGGTCAAATGACGTCACCTAATGAGCCTGAATGGTGCAGGAACGTGCTGGTCAAATGACGTCACCTAATTAGCCTGGATGGTGCAGGAAAGTTCTGGTCAAATGACGTCACCTAATTAGCCTGGATGGTGAGACACGTGCTGGTCAAATGACGTCACCTGATGAATTGATTAGCCTGGAGGATTTGCGGACGTGCTGGTCAAATGACGTCGCCTAATGATCCTGAATGGTGCAGGAAAGTCAAATGACGTCACCTGATGAATTGATGAGCCTGGATTATGAGAGACGTGCTGGTCAAATGACGTCACTTAATGAGCCTGGATGATGTGTGGACGTGCTGGTCAAATGACGTCACGTGATGAATTGATTAGCCTGGATGATGAGGAACGTGCTGGTCAAATGACGTCACCTAATGAGCCAGGATGATGTGTTGACGTGCTGGTCAAATGACGTCACGTGATGAATTGATGAAGCTGGATGGTGTGGGCCAAGTGTGATCCTAGTTTGAAGAAAAAAAATTATTATCCATAACAAAATTCTACATATAACATCGGGTAAAAAGACATTATACAACTGGTCTTCTTATTATAAATAGTAGGAAGTAATTAAGTATTTTGTTTCAAAGAAACACAAAATTAAAGCAAACACATGACAACCATAATTAAATTTTAAAATACTATAATAGATCTAATAAAACTTACTCAGAAAAGATAGGCAATGCCTAAGTTCCGAAGTATTGTCGGATAGAATACACATTAGCACCAACTAAGGCACCAAATAATGGCGTTTGGTAACCAATTCCAGACGTGCCTATAGATTGCAGTAGTGCCACATACGATCTACCAAACTTGTACTTGTGGGCGGCTGAGCTAAGGCTAGCTGCGACACTGCCCCGGGTGATACCAGCTGAAACAAACGGTTACACCTGTCAGTTGAGTGTCTTAGTTACATATTCTATAAATAGAAAACTATTCGTTTATTTTGAAGTGAGGGGTCAAGTGGTAATGCCGATGCCATTGAAATAGAGGAACTCTACTATATCTGCTTTGTGTCGTAGGAGTGACCACGAAAATATGGTGATGATTCGGAACGTAAAGCTGAAGATGCTATACCAAAAATGCAGAAGAAAGGGAAGTGGCTTCTACTTTGAATAAATTATAGTGCGTTGTGTTCAATAGGAGCAATAATAATGTATTAGTAATGATATAATTTCTATCAAGCCTAATACTGACCGCTTTTATTAAATCATTAATATTTTTAGACTTGTGACCTTGTATTCTGTGTGCTTATTTCCGCCAAAAATAGAGGAAATACGAAGCGTGCTTATATCCTCTCAAATTAAGGGTTAGAGTTAGGGGTTAGGTTTAGATTATGGGATTAGGTTTAGGGCTAGAGATAGTGAAAGAAAATAATGTTTTTTTTAAAATCTTAATTGAATTAATGAAATAATTATCGTTCAACGTATAGATCTACATGTATGCAGAATTGTTTTTGTCTTTGCTCATTTCATCATACTTTGGAAAATAATCCTCTCATATCCACTGTGCTTATTTTCTCTCAACTTTTATAGGAGATGTATAACCTAGATCAGATATGAGAGGATCTAAGACAGTTGCGTATTTCCTCTATCGTATGACGAAATACGCACTACCTGTTTTCTCTGTATCTTGGATCTTAGTTGTTAGGACGCGAGTTAGTCCACACAATCCGTCGTCACCTGATCATGTGAGTTCCATGTGGAAGCCACCGGTTACACAACTGCGTGCGACCCCTGGTTCGGGTTAGTCATCGAATGTATAAGCCCGCCGTGTCCCTAGTGTTGGGTGCTCTCTTATCTAATTAAGTCAACTGTTGTCATATTCAAAGTATTGCATTGTCATCGGGTCTTGACTCATGTATTAAATTTGAAAGAAATCGGTCTGATAGAAGTGGTCGAAATCTCGCTCGTGAATCTCGACACATGTAAGACAAGTAACATTTCAAAGAAAGACAGAGAAAGTTAAATACAAGATTTATTAAAGATGTCTTACCTTTTTCAAAGCCAAACCCGTAGAGGACAACCGGCGTTACTAGAGTGTTTACAATCGCCCCAAACAGCACGTTGTTGATGAAAGTCCAACCCAGAAACTGAGTTATATCTAAAACCAGCCAGCTCAAGAACAGTTTCAATAGGATGTGCATTTTGTGATCATAAGCATCACCATGTTGTTTTTTAAAGTAGTTTAGATGACGTAACTTCCTTTCCTTGCGTGTATACATTTAGTGCTCGTATTCTGATGACGACATTGTAATAGTGAATCTATTTTTATTAACTTTCTCATATAGGATCTACGCAGAAATGTAAAATAGTTTGAAAAGGAATGAAGAAAATCGCGATATTGTACTGGGAGGAAAATATGTAAATTAGATGGTATGAACAGGTGGAGGTGTAATTAATACGATACACCCCACGCCGCAGACGATCCACCCCACGCCGCAGACGACAGAATCAATGAAACCCATACAGTGACGTGCAGTGATGTAACATGTAAAGGTGAAGTCACACCGATCTAACAAGGTAGCGCACTCAAAAAGATAAACAATTAAAATTGATGAACTTACACAGGCCTATTGTTAGGTTAGAGTTGTGTTCAAATCTTAAATTATTTAATTAAAGGAGAAATTGTATTTGGTAAGTTCTACCCTAAAGTGTCATTGATGTATATTATTTGCTATATTATTATTATCCTACAATTTCGCAGAATTAAATTTTTTTTTGTTTTTAATATTATCAATATAAGTGGGAAATGAATGTCGAAGGTGTAAAATATGTATGTATCGATATAAAATATGTATGTATCGATATAAAATATGTATGTATCGATATAAAATATGTATGTATCGATATAAAATATGTATGTATCGATATTAAAACATTTGTGCGTTCCAGCTAGGCCGTGGAATTACATTGATGTATTTTTAAAATTAAAATTTAAAAAAGCTTTCAAAAAAATATTTTAACTAAAAATTTATCGAACCGGAGGATAAAAACACTACACTCATAATTGGTCGATGCTGCGACAATTTTTTAACGAATAGAAAAATTCCCTAGATTTGTCCTGATATCATTTTTCCATGAGATATTTTGTGGGATATTTTGTCTGGGATATTTTGTCTGGGATATTTTGTCTGGGATATTTTGTCTGGGATATTTTGTCTGGGATATTTTGTCTGAGATAATTTGTCTGTGATATTTTGTCTGAGATCATTTGTCCTGAGCTTATTTGTTCTGAGAACATTTTCCTTGAGATCATTTTTCCTGAGATCGTTTGTTCTGAGATTATTTTTCCTGAGATTATTTTTCCTGAGATTATTTGTCCTGAGAATATTTGTCCTGCGATCATTTGTCCTGCCACCGTAAGAATATGCGTTGCTGGTGAGGGGGGGGGGGGGTAATAACGCAAGTAAAGAGTGGCGGAAGCACAAAATGGAGGTAAACAGTTTAACCGTCACATTGATGCTTGAGACAAGAACACAAAAAACAATGACGTCACATATCACATGATTAAACTACGGATAGTAAAAAAACACCAATGGCGTCATTGATCAGTATGCGTATTTAATACGGTGCTGTGTTGACTAATAATGTGTATAATTTGATTTTAATTTTTCTAATAGTTATTGGTAGCCTTTGTTAGTTTAAGTGTGTCAGATTTTTAGCTATTTAGTTATTTCTTTGCTTTGTCACTATATATCGTTCAACGTGTAGTAAAGCACAGTGCATTTTGACCAATACCTATTTTATAAATTAATTTTCTGAAACAAGTATTACATAAAAATATATAGGCCTATAATTCACTGTAACGGGTATCGATGGCTGGTTTTGCTCACCAAACGCATCTATTACCGTCAAATGTGAAGCTTTGTTTCAGCTGTCATTCTATAGTGTTATAAATAGACTAGTTTGGCAGGAAACGAGTAGTGCCTATTGTGGACAACGATATAGGAAACACGCAAGGCTTGATGGTTATACTTTTTTGACGACTGACTTTCAAGCCACTGGGTTGCTATCCTGTTGGGTCTTTGTCACAACACTATGAGACATTTAATTTCCACAACATCACAGTTTATTTTTAAATATTTAAATAATAATGAAACAAGCATAACGATCAAACAGTTGTTTTCACGGAGGTATTTGTAAGAAATTCACAAACGCAAACATTTTTTGAAATTGTGCAAAATAAAAAACAACTTGCATGATACATATTGATACAACTTTAATAATGAACTAAAACATACATGGTTATCTTATGTCAGTATTATTTTACTGTATGTTACGGTACGCAGCCCAATGGAATGCATACACAAAACATATTTAAGCAAACTAAAAGGTAGTTTATCTGAGACAATATACTTTCTTTAGTGCCAATATTTGAGGAAGAAAAAGCTAAAATTCTAGAAGCATAGAAGCAATTAGAAGTGACTTAAAAATAGCGCTTGATTAATATTCATGTAAGCTACAAAATATTTTAAACTTTAGTTTAAAAAAAATTGCACTTAGTATTTATTTAAATTATGGAATGTCATTATCAAAAAAGTATTATGGCAGTGAACAAAACGAATATAAAGCTAATATACATTCGTATTAGCTTGAGCAAGTTATTTAATAACACAACTACTATGATGAAGCAGTACTAAAAGTTTTAAAAAATTCAAGGCAAATTAGTATATACAAGTTCATAAAAGTAAAAAAGAAATTAAAAGTCCGTGCAGTCTAGGTGGCGATGGTGTAGTCTAGGTGGCGATGGTGTAGTCCAGGTGGCGATGGTGTTGTCTAGGTGGCGATGGTGCAGTCCAGGTGGCGATGGTGTAGTCTAGGTGGCGATGGTGTAGTCTAGGTGGCGATGGTGTAGTCCAGGTGGCGATGGTGTAGTCTAGGTGGCGATGGTGTAGTCCAGGTGGCGATGGTGTAGTCTAGGTGGCGATGGTGTAGTCCAGGTGGCGATGGTGTAGTCCAGGTGGCGATGGTGTAGTCTAGGTGGCGATGGTGTAGTCCAGGTGGCGATGGTGTAGTCTAGGTGGCGATGGTGCAGTCTAGGTGGCGATGGTGTAGTCTAGGTGGCGATGGTGTAGTCTAGGTGGCGATGGTGTAGTCCAGGTGGCGATGGTGGAGTCCAGGTTACGATGGTGCAGTCTAGGTGGCGATGGTGCAGTCTAGGTGGCGATGGTGTAGTCTAGGTGGCGATGGTGTAGTCCAGGTGGCGATGGTGTAGTCTAGGTGGCGATGGTGTAGTCCAGGTGGCGATGGTGTAGTCTAGGTGGCGATGGTGCAGTCTAGGTGGCGATGGTGTAGTCTAGGTGGCGATGGTGTAGTCTAGGTGGCGATGGTGTAGTCTAGGTGGCGATGGTGTAGTCTAGGTGGCGATGGTGCAGTCTAGGTGGCGATGGTGTAGTCTAGGTGGCGATGGTGTAGTCCAGGTGGCGATGGTGTAGTCTAGGTGGCGATGGTGTAGTCCAGGTGGCGATGGTGTAGTCTAGGTGGCGATGGTGCAGTCTAGGTGGCGATGGTGTAGTCTAGGTGGCGATGGTGTAGTCTAGGTGGCGATGGTGTGGTCTAGGTGGCGATGGTGCGGGCCAAGGGTGTGCCTAGGTTGTAGAAATAAATTGTTACATAACAAAACTATACATGTAAAATCGGGTTAAAGGTCATTGTATAACTGTCCAGGTAATTTCTAAGCTGGTCAAGTATTATAGTAGCTAGTATAAAGTAATTAAGTAACTTTCTAATTGATTACATAAAGTGTATATAAAAGAAAACACAAAACAACAAAAAATACATTTAAAACTTCCATACTAAAAATGTGTGTATACTTAGAAAAGATTGGAGATGCCGTGAGATCCGAAGTATTCCCGGATCAAGTGAACATTGGCACCAACAATGGCACCAAATATTGGCGTGTTGACTCCGATACCCGAAGTCCCAATAGATTGCAGTGTGGCGACAATTCTTATGCCAATTTTGTGCTTGTACGCTGCTGAGCTGAGACTAGCAGCAATACTGCCTCGAGCCGTACCGCCTGAAACAGACGGTTCCAGTTTAGGCTTTTAGAAACAAAGTTAACAAATTAAAAACAAATATTTGTTTATGTGGAGGTGGGGATGACGTGGTCGAATGGTAATGCCATTAACTCTACTGCATCTACTTTATGTATGTTGAGATCGACAGATAAAAAATAATGATTCTGATGATGTTACAACGTGATGATTCTGATGATGTTACAACGTGATGATTCTGATGATGTAACAACGTGATGATTCTAATTGTGTTACAACGTGATGATTCTGATGATGTAACAACGTGATGATTCTAATTGTGTTACAACGTGATGATTCTGATGATGTAACAACGTGATGATTCTAATTGTGTTACAACGTGATGATTCTGATGGTGTTACAACATGATGATTATGATGGTGTTACAACGTGATGGTTCTGATGATGTTACAACATGATGATTATGATGATGTTACAACGTGATGATTCTGATGATGTTACAACGTGATGATTCTGATGACGTTACAACATGATGATTATGATGATGTTACAACATGATGATTATGATGGTGTTACAACGTGATGGTTCTGATGATGTTACAACATGATGATTATGATGATGTTACAACATGATGATTATGATGGTGTTACAACATGATGATTAGGATGGTGTTACAACGTGATGGTTCTGATGAAGTTACAACATGATGATTATGATGATGTTACAACATGATGATTATGATGGTGTTACAACGTGATGGTTCTGATGATGTTACAACATGATGATTATGATGATGTTACAACATGATGATTAGGATGGTGTTACAACGTGATGGTTCTGATGATGTTACAACATGATGATTCTGATAGTGTTACAACATGATGATTATGATGGTGTTACAACGTGATGGTTCTGATGATGTTACAACATGATGATTATGATGATGTTACAACATGATGATTATGATGGTGTTACAACGTGATTATTCTGATGAAGTTACAACATGATGATTAGGATGGTGTTACAACGTGATGGTTCTGATGATGTTACAACATGATGATTATGATGATGTTACAACATGATGATTATGATGGTGTTACAACGTGATGATTCTGATTATGTTACAACGTGATGATTCTGATTATGTTACAACGTGATGATTCTAATGATGTTACAACG